CTACAACTTCATGGGTCAGTAGCCATAGTTTATCCTCAGCCTTTTAAATCATTTTGTTTTCTAAAACGGTAGATATTTAATTTTTTTTTTTTATGTTCTTTAGGTGTGCGGCACGATCCAAACATGAAGTATGACCTGCAGCTGTCGAACCCCAAAGAGTTCTACCATGAAGTCCATCGGCCTTCGCACTTCTTAAACTTCGCCTCGCTGCAGGAGGGCGAGATTTACAACGCTGACAGAGAGGACATGTTCGGCTGAGCGCCACTTTACTACTCCTCTAACGTTTGTAGATAGGTCTGCCAGAATCATGAAGAGCCAGTCCAGAGATCTCTGCAATATTTCCTCTGAGTTCATTTAATTCTTGTGGATCTTTTAATATTTCGTTTTGTTCATTATTTTTACATAAATGTTTCTTATTTCTGTCACATCACATGGAAACTATTAGGTCTTGGTTCTTGTGGCTTCTCGTAAACTTTGTGTGTAAACTAGCAAATTCCTGCACATGATAATTGGTTTAACTTGCAACATTAGTTCAGAAGGTTAAACTTCCCCTTTTCCCCGTGAGAAATGAAATTGAAAGTTGCATTTTCATATGAGAAATTCCCTGTTGTTTTCCAACTGTACATCCTGTGATGTTATGTTCTGGATTTAAATAAAGATCAGTTTTTATAAAAGAAGTTCGTATAATAGCCTTCAAGTCCTCATTCTCCTACATGAGTAAATAAGTGTGACTAAATAAGTCATAAATCTAGTTTTACCCAATCTATACTTGTAAAACCACATCTAGATTTACTCAAACCGGCCACTTCCAGCTGATGGATGCAAATATATTTTAGAATTGTGTTTTTTTTTTTTTTGCTTCCTTGATGTTTTTTTCTTTTTACATTTCCCATGAATCCGAGATTGTTATGCTGGTTGAAAGTATAATTAATTGATATTGTACTATGGCTCAAAAAAATGTAATGTGACCAAAGTACCCCACATTTACAATATCTTAAACATTTAATTTTACTTTATTTCTGCTCCTGGTAACTAGGATAACTTTTATAAAAAGATTTTTAACAAGCTGAAATCGGAAATAACCAGTAAATAGACCCCACTCTTGAGTACCGGTATATACAGCAGTTCTGTAGAGGCATCTGTGGTTTGTCACTCATTGTGAGACAAAACGCACTACAGACAAAATAACTTTAAAGTACAAATAATATAATTAGCTTATAAAGCAACCTATGCTTTAAAGATTTTCAGTTTGCCTATGAAAAACGTTAACTGCAAAACAGCTAAGACAAGGCCACAAATTAGAATCTTGTTGAAATAGACGAAAATTTAAAGAAACCAGAGCAAATGTGGAGGAACTAGAGTTTCTCAGTTAAGCATAAAATCTGTTGAGAGGACACAGCATCCCCACTGTGGATCATATAGCAAACCATGTGCAGAGTAGGTGATCCGCATCCAAGGGAAGATGGAGGAAGCTGAAAACAAGAAAACTAAATAAAACCTGAGACTGCAGCAGAGACTGATTCCCCAGCAGGAGGAATGTAACAAGAGGTACAATAAATGGTTCAGGAAAACCACTTGGATGTGTTGGAGTGGCCTAGTCAAAGTCCAGACCCTAATCTTTGTGACAAGGTTCACCATGAGTAACTTCAGCTACATGCTGTAAAGATTGGTTTCTATAAGTTGGTATAAAAAATAGATCTAAAAAAAATGTTTCTTCTGCCTGAATTAGTTATTCTATAATCATTTGATTTATATTTAATATTAAACTGTGCACCTGGAGAATAAATAACCAATATGCAGCTATGGACATTTTTACAGTAATGGATATTTTAAATAGCAGCAACATCAGGGATGTGCAAAATGATGGCAGCATGTTATTTAACTAAGGTTAATATCATTACCTTTTCTTTTATTTGTTCATGCTCCTGGTGATTGTCACCTTCATTCCACTCTGTATTCTCATGAGTGTTTTGCACCATTTGTCACAGAACACCATTTGTGTACTTGTACTCAAGAATTTTAGGGAGGTGTAACTTTTTTTGGGAATTGTGACAGATTAAAATCTGTCACAATCTACAGTTACAAAACACCAAAGTTACAATGCACACATGGTTTTGCAACAATAGTTCTGAACCATTTGAAGCAAAAGTGAGTATGTAAGAGGTTTTTGATATGCAACTTGTAGAACAGGATTGGTGTACTTGTACTTAAAATTTGAACAGCTTTAAAAAAAAAAGATTGTAGTTGTGAATTTGTTTTTATTCTACAAATACAAAACTTGGAATGTAACTCTCTCAACAACTTCAAATTCACACTTACATAGCACAAATAGTTTTGAAACAAAATAAACTTCTAGGGGATTTACGGAAGAGGATTGGGGCCACTGAAAAAATAAAAAAAAGTTAACTGATTTTTAAATATTATTTCAGTTTAATTTGTGAAAAAAGTCAGAATTCTGACTTTAATCTCAGAATTCTGACAGCTAACAAACATGTTAGCATCAAGCCATAGCCACGTCTGTAGCTCTCTTGTTTTAAGGATCTTCTGCTCTTCCATTAATGAAATGGCATCACTGGGGACCCCTTGGGCACGTAAAAAGTTGCCTAATTTCGTCATTTTTCACCAATGTGATACAGGCCCTCCCAAACAACTCACATCTTTGTCAGTGAAGCTGAGTGCTCCCACATCTCTTCCTTCATGGTTCCCATCTACGTTAAGATCCAAAATTCTGAGGGTAAGGTCAGAATTCTGGGATTAAAGTCAGAATTTTGAGGGGGGAAAAAAATCATAATTCTGAGATTAAAGTCAGAATTCTGAGAAAAGAGTCAGAATTCTAAGATTTAAAGTCATAATTCTGAGAAAAATGACAGAATTCTGAGAAAAGAGTCAGAATTCTAAGATTTAAAGTCATAATTCTGAGAAAAAAGTCAGAATTCTGAGAAAAAAAAGTCAGAATTCTCAGATTTAAGTCAGAATTCTGAGAAAAAAGTCAAAATTCTGAGAAAAAAATTCAGAATTCTGAGAGCAAAGTCAGAATTTTGAGAAAACAAAGTCAGCATTCTGAGATTAAAGTCAGAATTCTGAGAAAAAAATTCAGAATTCTGAGAGCAAAGTCAGAATTTTGAGAAAAAAAAGTCAGCATTCTGAGATTAAAGTCAGAATTCTGAGATTTAAAGTCAGCAATCTGAGAAAAAGGTCAGAATTCTGAGAAATAGGTCAGAATTCTGAAATTAAAACCAGAATTCTGAGAAAAATAGTAAGCATTCTGAGATTTAAGGTCAGAATTCTGAGAAAAAAAAGTAAAAATTCTGAAATTAAAGTCAGAATTCTGAGATTAAAGTCAGAATTCTGAGATTTAAAGTCAGAATTATGAGATTTAAAGGTACACTATGCAACCGGTGTTGATTTTCCAGCGAGGCTCCCCCCAGAGGGCGAAAGTAAAAGTGCACTGTCGTAAATATGCACAGCTGTTCTCCTGGTTTCTCCGTCAAGCCAGGCGCGGTTGTTTTGAGCTTAGCAGACAGGCGAACGCAACGAATGACTAATGCTGCGTTCACACCGCAGCTGGCGCGACAGAAGCAGCGAGTTTACATGCAAAGTCAATGGTTGACGCGCGTCAAGGCGCAGCAAAAGGTCCCGCGGCGCGTTTTGAGCAGCAGGCCCAGCGCGTCTGAGCAGCTGAAGCAGGGAGAGAGACACAGCGCTGATGATCAGAGGCTATGATCTCTCCTCTTAAACAGTTTATTGACGCCTAAATTAACTTAAAATGCAGAAATCTGCCGGCAGAATATGCAGTTTGGATTATTTAGATCAAAAACACCTACCAGCTGCCGCGGTGAACCGCGAGGAGGTGACCTGGCCAGAGGCTGCTGATGAAGGGGTTCCTTCTGTCGGCGCACCGCTGGTATGTGGGGGTCTGAGCGGCTCCGACAGAAAAAATATTGAAGGCAGGATAATAATCTGAATGAACTGACGGCACTGATTACGTTTTCAGGTGTATTTTCTCATTTAAACACATATTAAAACTACTTTATTCCAAATGATCACAGCAAATATAGCTGCAAGGCAGAGAAAGGATAGTGAAGCTCCGCCCAACGCGCGTCAGACACACTTTTGCACCGCACAGCCAGAGCAGCAAAGCTGCTTCAGCCGCGTGTCAGAACTAACTGGTTCAAGCAGCAAAAATGAAGCAGCAGACACGATTTTGCTGCTTTTGCTGCGTGAACGTAGCATAACTGCACAAGGATCGCCACTGTGCTAGCAACGAGAATGCTTTTAACTGGGGGGTGTAGCAGTTCTCGCCGTAAAGCAAGACTGACTCTCACGAGACTTCTGAGCCTGTGGGTGCGGGTCGGTGCTCCTGCAATTGCAAGTGCAGTATTTCCCCCACAGACCACCAGGGCGGCCGAGAATACCTTTGTTCAACCTGAAATGACTCATTTAATCATCCAAAACGTTATGGAACACATTAATTAACTGAAAAATGTTGCATAGTGTGCCTTTAAAGTCAGCATTCTGAGAAAAAAGTCAGAATTATGAGAAAAAAGTCAGAATTATGAGAAAAAGTCAGAATTCTGAGATTAAAACCAGAATTCTGAGAAAAAAGTCAGCATTCTGAGTTTTAAGGTCAGAATTCTGAGGGAAAAAAAGTCTAAATTCTGAAATTAAGTCAGAATTCTGAGAAAAAATCCAAATTCTGAGATTAAAGTCAGACTACTGATTTTTTTCTCATATTATTCTGAAATAAAATTTAAAAACCAGTTAACTTTTTTTGTTTTGGCCCTGATTGTCTTCCGTAGTACTAGTGTGGGGTTAAGGATTTGCAGCAGATTTTGCAGCAGACCCACATATAGAGGAAACAGCGCTCTGCTGGAGGTGGCAGCATGTCGGTGCTTGTATTTATCCGAGCTTTGCATTGGTCAGCAGAGGAGGAGTAGGAGGCTGTCCCACCGCAGCTCCTCTTCTAGTTTTTAGTCTGATATCTGAGAGCTGGTACGGGCATGTCTGTAGCTTTTGTTCAGTATATTTGCTTAAAAGTGAACACCAAAGCAGGCGTGTGTTAAAACTTCTATATCTCAGTTTCACTTTCACATCAAGCCAGCAGGCTTTGGTGAAGCATGAACCGAGCTGCCGCATGAGGAGACATCATGGAGACGAAGAGCAGAGTCCCGCAGGAGTCCTCCTGCTTTAACGGGACTTTTTCCGCGCTAACCGTCAACGATGTGTACGAAATAGCGAAGCTGATCGGAGCCGAGGTGGAGAAGCTGATCGACGGCTACGGCAAAGAGAGCGTGGAGGGTCTGGTTCCGAAGATAGTGAAGGTGCTGGAGCTGCTGGAGAGCTTCGCCTCCACGAACCAGGCGCGCGCTCTGAAGGAAGAGGAGCTGCTGAAGACCTTCGAGCAGCTGCAGCTCCAACAGCAGAGGAAGCGGGGAGGGAAGGACGGCGACGAGGGCAGCGACAAAAACCAACTACGGGTGAGCTTTAAAGACGGCCACCATTTTGTAAACATTGATGCCAACATATGGAGCAACTGTCAGCTTCTGAATCCAGGCTGACATGGTCCACATCTGCTGAACGTTACTACAACATAAAGCGGTTATTTAAAGTGTATTACACGATAACAACACAATTAAATACCAAATCAAAGTTGGATGTAGGTTCACAATATGTTTTTGTTTTTATTTTTAAGTAGTTATATGTTTAATTTGCCATTTTTTTAAAGTTTCCATTAGTGTTGGTTAAATATTCAATAACTTCATCGTCCAACCATTGGAAAACCGTTATATAAGAAATAAATTAAATAATTTAGTTAGTTATATTTATTACATGGCTACTAAGGTATATAAGGTATGTCCCCGTTATTATTTCCCGTCTATAACATAATGGCTATGGAAGACCAACTCCGCCATATTAAAAATAAATACGGAAATAAATAAATGCTCAATAAATAAATAAGCATACCATAAACAAATGTAGGCAGAAATTAAATTATACAGTGAGACATAAATGTATATATCTCTTTTAATTAGCTTTCTTATTTATTCGCCTTTGTTATAGTTATTTATTTATTGTCCGTTATAATCTTCAACTTTATTTATTTATTACTTATTTTTTTAAGTATGTATTTATGTGCATGATATAGTATTTTTGTCTGTTTTATTCTTCCTTTGTATTTTTTTACCCTCTTTATTTCTTCAAAGCAATTTATTTAATAAATAGTTTTAATAAACACTGTTTATTAAATAAATTATTTATTTATTTAATGAATAGTGTTGAAGAAATAAAGAGGGTAAAAAAATACAAAGGAAGAATAAAACAGACAAAAATATTACATCATGCATATAAATAAATACTTAGAAAATAAATAATGAATAAATAAAGTTGAAGATTATAACGGACAGTAAATAAATAAGGTAAATATTACAAAGGCAAATAAATAAAGAAGCTATTTAAAAGAGATATACATTTATGTCTCACTGTATAGTTTCATTTCTACCTACATTTATTTGTTTATTGTATTTATGGGGGCAATTAATTGAATGCTTATTTATTATTTGAGCATTTATTTATTCATTTCTGTATTTATTTTTAGATATGGCAGAATTGGTCCTCAATAAATGACAAAATAGTATCTCAAAATGTTTATGATGTAGGGTTGTCACGATACTAAACTTTTCAACTCGATACCGATACTAAGTAAAATATTCGATACTCGATGTCATTTTCGATACCACAAGGATAAAAACAAAGACTCCAAAAATCAACAGAAATTTTTTCATTAATAAACAAAATACAATAAATAGATAAATAAATACAATAAACAATATTTTGAGGTTGTATGCTGTGCACAATATTAAGCAAGCTTGATAAAAAACTTATAAAATTCAAATTAAGTGTTCCTTCCTTGGCTATGCTTTGCACACATAACAATGACACTAGCCAAACCAGTTAAGAAACAAAAATAATTCTCAGCAGCTGCACCTGTTACAGAAAAAAGTCTGAAACTGAAAAGTGCACAGAATTATTCAATCACACAGTGTTCAGAAAGTGCATTTTCCACTATTCTGCACATAAGATGAATGACTGTTTAGGTGCCACTGGTGGTAGCACTGTATCGATACTTTTGAAAATGAGTATTGTATCCGGATACAACTTTTCAGTATCGATACTTTTTTGAGTATCGATACTTTTGACAACCCTAATATGATGTGATAATTATATTATTTGAAAGCAATGAGATTACTTAGTTTGTTACTATAATAGAATAGAATACAATTTAACTTAATAGTCATCACACTGCCACAAGTACTAAGCAACAAAATGTAGCTTGCATTTATCCAGAAGTGCTACACAGGATATATATATAGTAGTTATTTACATGTGTACAGAGACTATGTATTGTCTATAAATGGTATATATAAACAGAGAGTAATTGTAAGAGGCTGTAAAATAAATACATTTAGAAACTATATACAGATTATACAGGAAAGTTAGGATATGGATTATATGTATATTTTAGTGCGGTTATAATACAGGTAATACAGGAAGTCGAAATTTAAAGTTGCTTGTTGTTAATAATCAGTAACTCATATCTCTGAAATATTATAAGGCATATTTGCAAAAAATAATGTGATTTTCAATATATCTATTCATTTTCTAACACGCTTATCCCTGCTGGGGTTGCGAGGGGGGCTGGTGCCTATCTGCAGCTGTCAATGGGCGAGAGGTGGGGTACACCCTGGACAGGTCAGATCAAACAACCATTCACACACACACTCACATCTAAGGAGAATTTAGAGAAGCCAGTTAACCTAACGGTAATTTTTTTGGACTGCGGGAAGAAGCCGGAGTACCCGGAGAGAACCCACGCATGCTCAGGGAGAACATGGAAACTCCATGTAGAAAGACCCTGGGCCGGGAATCGGACCCTAAACCTTCTTGCTGCGAGAGAGCAGTGCTACCCACTGATCCCCTGTGCAGCACCATCTTCAATATATATGTTCTATATATTATGTTCTTCCCATCTTTCTTTATTATCATTCATCATCGCACAACTACAAGTTCATTATCTCACATTAATTAACTTGCGATAATAGCACTTGCACAAAGCACTACTTTATGACTAAGCTGATCTAGTCATGACTTTAAAAGTCATTATTATGAGATTGAATCCCAATTATAAATTGGATCAGAGACATATTCTTCATGTTTCTGTCAGCTATAATATGATTTGTTAATGAAATAGTGTTGCAGGTGTAACATAGACACTCATACTTCTCACTTTAGGGTAGAAATAGCTGTGTCAAGAATATTTTTCGCTGCCGTCTAATAATTTAGAAAACACACTCTATCAATGTCTTATAACATGATATAGGATAGTGAAGCCGTGTTACAGCTACTCTTGCATCAAAATAGTTTCCCAAAAAATCAAAAATTGCCAGAGTAGCCTTACGAGGAGGTTTTTCAACTCTAAAAAAAAATGCACTCATGGAGAATTTTCTTGTCTCAAAAAGGGGTGTTTTCTTTACTTATAAAAAATAACATAAATATTCTCAGAGTTGACTTACAAAAAATTCAAGTATAAACGTTAAGTGATGTGCGTGAAAAAACTGTTACGCTCCTCACTCCTTCAAACAAACAATCAGATCCACCCCATCAACTGCTTCTACTTGTTAATCTCAGCAGGAGGCGGACTGACAAGGAGGAAGATCAGAGCAAAACCAATACATAAACAAATAAACAATTGCTCTACCATTCGCACAACCCTAGATTTAACATTAATGATTTAGCAAAAAATAAATTAATCTAATTCTTATTAGGCTCCAACAAGCCGTAAAAGTATCATGCTTCAGTGCGTTAAGTTGATCCATGCATGCCTGTCCTTGCTCCCATTTTAATGAGCTTTAAACAAAACATACAAAAGAAAAAAAACAAATCATTACTGGAAGAGCTCTGAGGTGTGGTGATTACTTGGCAGTTTGACATGCCTTGGCAATGATACAAAGACGGCACACCCTCTGTGATGTCATACAGTGAAAGCTCCTGATCCCTAAATGTTTAACAGCTTCTATACATGCTGAAAAACATTGGATATTAAGTTACTCATGTTTTTTATTTTATTTTATATTTCTCCTAATTGTGGAGCAGGAGCTGCAGCAGAAGGAGGAAGAGTGGAAGAGGAGATGTGAGGAGCTACAGGTCCAGGTGCAGCAGCTGCAGGAGGACAGGAAGGAGCTCCAGAGCAGGCTGGATGGCTCCAGTGCTCAGGAAGGTATGTTTGAATACTTTAACAACCTAAAGTCTTCCTAAAGTTCTGCTTTAAACTCTCTTTTTTTGTGAAATAAATGAATAAATAAATTCTTCTGCATCTTTTTGCTTTGCTCCACCCAAGTAGAACCACCTCCAGGGCTTGTGGTTGCTCTGTTCTCGTCATAATCTTAAGTTATGCTGGTGTGCGTAGCAGACTCAGCCGTATGGAAATTTATCAGATGTTAACGGAACAGATTCAAAACAGCGGTTTAACTGTAAGGCCTGTATGCTGATCCTGAAAGCAGTCTGACCGGTAAACACACCATGTGTGCACAGCACATACTCTGCTCTGTGAAAATATGTTTACTATGTCAACATAAAGAGGAGGCCCACACGGGATAGGAGATAGGATCTAAAAAATTAACTTCTTATAGTTATGGCTCCATATTGATTATAGACTCTGATCATTTATTTGTAGAATTAATTTATCATAGAAGCTCAAAACAATAATCCAGGCCACTGGTTTTACTGTTATTTTGAGATTTTACTCTTTTCTCATACTTTGTCAAAGGTATATATAGTATTTGATTAAATGAACTAGCACAGCTCTTTCTTTGGTGCAGGTAGTTTTCATATAGCTAGATTTCCAGTCCTTTTTGGAAGCTCCTCGCAATAATAAACATGCTAAAAAGTTCATAACTGCTCATTAAAACAAGTTTTAGAGGATATAATATGTAATGAGGGCTATAAGCATCAGATTAAAGATGTGTATTATATCAATTCAGTTAACCTGAAAACTAAATAAAAATAAGAGTATTATTTAATTGCAACACACTTTAATCATAAAGCAACAAAAGCAGTGTACGGATTTTTGTTTTTCTTTGTTGCAGAAAAGCAAAAGTGGAACCTAATTATATGAGTGAAAGTGAAAACTAATAAGGCTTCTGTGTTTTATGCTGCTGTAGCTAATATCAAACATCAAACTTAATGTTTGTTGAAATAGGCTGGTGTTAAATTTCCTTACCCCTTCTTTTTTGTTTGATGTTTCTAAATTTAAAAGTGAAACCGCTATCATCCCTGTTTTCTATTCTGGTTGAGCAGGTCTGAGGTGGAGTGTCTCCAACATGCATTATAATAAGCTGTGAAGATGTTTTTAATTAGTCAGCGGCAGGTTGTCTCTGTATGTTTTGGATCTATGCCATGTGAGACAGGAGAAAGTGGAACCCATGCTGCTGAGACCGTTTGAACTCAGACTTTCTAACCTTTGTTTCTTACCTTAATGCAGCCCCAGCATGTTTAAAGTCAGGGTCAGTTAATTGAAATATGACCAACTAAACTGTATTTTACTTTAACTTTTACCTGTGTGCTGTTTTTATGTTTCTGTGTTCAGTTTTAGACAACAACCTAGATGTTTCAGTTTGGAAAGGCTGCAGTACTATGGTGATGAATAGAGTTATTTGTGGTATGTTTGTATTAGCTTTGCGTCAAAAGGCTCTTTGACAAAGAGTTTGTTAGTTTTGGTTACTGGGAATTTTTAAAGCAGACTGATAACTTTTCACTAAAATATATTTCCCTTATGTCACAGTTCAGATGGAAGAATGATATAATAATGAAAAAAAACTTCTCTATTATTAAGGCTTAAAGTAGGTTGTTTTGTAATGGCTGCAAAAAACGGAAGAAGAAACAATTGAAAACGACGCCCCTTTTTGAACCTTTGTTTTCATCTGCCTCTAACGCGCATGTGTTTGTTGTATTTTTAGACCGTAATCACAGGCAGGAGCGGCAGGTGATGCTGAAGCTGAAGGAGGTGGTGGACAAGCAGAGAGATGAGCTGAGGGCTAAGGTCCAGGAGATCGCTACAGTCTCCAAAGAGGTGGAGGCGGTAAGACTCAGATCTCACTGATTACAGGCTGATAGATTTTTATCGAAGGACCAAGAAAGGCCTGAAAAAGCAGCCAAAGTCCAACAAAAAAAGTTTTGAAGCACCATCAGAAATGATGGAGATCAGTTTAAAACACTAGAGGAAGGTCTGGTTCCCTCCTAGAAAAGCATACATTCAGAAATGTTTTATGAGACTAGTTAGTAAAATGTGGGCACTGGATGAGGGAGGGTATGTGTATGGTTATAAAAAAGATTAATCTGTTGCTGGTAGCAGATTTCAGGCATGTCTAGGCGTAGTCTTCACCCACACAGTATCTCTGTGTGTCTGTGTGTGTATATACATATTCTGAAATGATTGCTTGCATGTGTCTCTGCGTCTGTCGGGACACACTCATCACATGACTTATACAGCAGCCAAATCTGGGTGTGTTTGTTAATGCTTAACTTGTTGCTCCCAATCAGTCAACATAAAGGATAAGAAAAAACAAAAAAAAAAAACCTTAAATGTCAAATTTACGGAGTTTAGCTCATGACGTTTTCTGCTGATTTTATCTCAGGGTTTTTAAAATAGTTGTCCTTTAAACTGAATGCATCTGTTTGGACATTGTATGGTTTATGGGTTAACCTGGTGCTTCAAGCAGGGATTATGTTTAAATGTCATCTACATAGCTGAGCTATGAAATTTCCCCCATGCAGTCACAGCTCAGGATTATTCTGGAACAATTTAATTCCACTATTCCCTAATTCCAGTATTTGGGGAATGTCCTACTGTCCTACTTTTCTACTTGTTTCTGTTCCACCATCTCTGTTTCCTAAATCCTTCCTTCCTTCCTTCCTTCCTTCCTTCCTTCCTTCCTTCCTTCCTTCCTTCCTTCCTTCCTTCCTTCCTTCCTTCCTTCCTTCCTTCCTTCCTTCCTTCCTTCCTTCCTTCCTTCCTTCCTTCCTTCCTTCCTTCCTAGAAAACTGGTTGTTCTCAGAGAGAAAAGCAAACACCTGTGCGATTGTTCAGGTTGTCCTTTCACACCGGCATGTGTGTTCATGTCTCTGCAGCTCCAGGAGCAGTTGGACCGCTTCATGAAAATGAACGCAGAGCTGCGGCACAAGCAGAACGTGCTTCAGACGCAGCTGACGAGCATCGTGGAGAGGAAGGCCGACTTGGAGACCGACCTTAAGGAGAAAAACAAGGAGATAGAACGGCTCCAAACACAGCTGAATAGCGTCAATGGGCACAGCCCTGTATGTCGTCCTCTTACGTAATATTATTCAAGTTTTTATATGTTATAGTAAAAAAAAGACAGTTTAGGTGTTATGTCGAGAGCTTTGTTGGAATAACATCAGTGTGTTGGTTAAAAAGAGTGAGCCAAACCCCAAAATCAATATAATGGGTTTTATTTTCATACATGCAGATTTGTTGTGAAGAATTAATTCTTCTTTTATTTCAAATTATTAGTAAAGTTGAAATTTGAGCGTTTAACTGTAGAAACTAAAGTCAAATTCCTTTTTTGTGCACATGATATTGGCTAAAAAGCTGATTCTGACCCTGATTTCGGAAAAAATAAAACAGTTTTTAATAATCAGGAAAATGGAATATTAAGCAGTTTCAAAAACATTTACTGTGTGCATTTCACTTATCAGTCAAAGGCTTCTCCTGAAAAAAACTATGACACCATTTCTCTGTTTCCTGTGGAGAATTTCACTTAGTAGTTTTATGTTTTCTACTCCACATTTTAATATATATGTGACAATTTCTGCATTTCTTATAGAGGACTCAGTGTTTTTATCACCTTTAAAAAAAATATTTAGAGAAACGACCTATTTTACTTCGATTTTCAGGGACTGATGTGCCAGCATGTAAAACATTTGATGTTTTCATGCATAAATATGGGTCAGCTGACCTCTCAGATAAGTTCAACGCTGCTGTCATTATGATGATGTCATCTTTAATGAATTTTCCCATTACACATGCTGCATCATGCATGTCCTGATTTTTGGCTCTGTCGCTTTAAATTATCTGGCACGTTGGAGCATAATCTTTCTCCAAACTGATGACTGATCAGTTTTGTGATGTTGCACTGATGTAACTGCGTCACATTTGTGTTATTGTTGATTTAGGAAAAATAATTTTAAACAAGAAAAAAGATTAAACTTCTAAAAACTTTCTTAGACATGTTTTAAAACAGCAGAGGAAGGAAGAGAGTCTAGGTAAAATTAACATCTATCTTCTTTGGATTTGATTACTTATTTTATGATATATTTATTGAGTCTCTTTCATCCCATCAGCCCAGTCCGCACCAAACAGTACAGTCGACAAAAAAGTCGACCCAACAGCCAACCACTGAGAAGAACGACCCCGATCAGCCATGCTTCACAAAGAAAGAGGTGCGGGACATTTTGTTTGAGAGGAACGAGCTGAAAACCAACCTCTTCCTGGTGCAGGAGGAGCTCAACTACTATCAGAGGTGGGTCTTAAAAAAACATTAACGAACATAGGTGTTGAATTTATGTGAAGCAGAAATCAGAACTGTCTTTTTTTTATTGCAGGGAAATTTTGAATGAGGAGAGGTGCCCAGGCTTTCTTCTGGAAGCGGTCCGGTCGGCGATCAAAAAGCGAAGGAAGCTGATAAAGGCAAAGATGCTGGGGATTCCTCTGAGCGACTGCAGCATCAGGTATCTCTCATCCCTCTTTTGCAAAAACAAACACTAAATGTGTTTAGGTGGTGAAGAATGTGGGGTGTTTGTTTTGTCTTCAGTGACGAGGAAGAGACGAGTTCTCTGTACGGGCAGACAGAAGTGGACGGCTCAGAGGTGGACGGACCAACCAAACCAGCCGAGTCACGCATTCGAAGCCTGTAAGTGAGAAATAATCTGCAAAAACAAAAAAAAATCTCACAATTTTCACAGTGAGCTGCAAACGCATTCACATCTGTAGAACTTATCTATCTTTTGATTAGCATGAACTCTGATATCGCTAAAGGAAACCTTTTTAAAGTCTGACAAAATTTGATCAAAGTTCAAGTTGATGTATTTTTAATGTGACTTTGCAAAGGTGAGAATGTAAAGAAATAAAACGCATTCCCCCTAAAAGACACAGCGACATGATCCTCACCAGCTCCACTCTTCTAATGATTGGCCAATCCTGGTCTATATTTAGCTGTAATCCCTGACTGCGTGTCCTGACCTGAGGCATGTGTCTCTCTCTCTCTGTCCTGCTGCAGCTTCGGCTTTCTGACGCGTTCGGGGAGCAGCAGGAGTCCCACCCAAATGAGCAGCTCTCCCTCCAGCTGGGAAATCCTGGATGAATCCGAGGCGAGCGAAGAGCCAGAGCAACAGCTGGCTTCTTAACTCTGCATTGAGATTACGTCGTGCTCTTCAGCCACTCCTGTTCTCATTCTGAAGCTCGTTGCACAGACTGGGAACTTTAAGGCATTTCTAACGCAAAGGTCTAATAGCAAGCCATTGACGTTCTCACTTTGCAGTTCTGTTTCAATTTTGCTCAGTCGGAGCTTAAACACTGCACAAACGGTACAGAGTATACAGCAGGAGGCACTTTTGGAATCCCTATTTTTTATGGTTCAGAAATTAAAACAATCAGCGAGATATAAATATATTTGTTTTAAAAACATTTAAATGTTTTAGATTTTGAGAAATATACCGTATTATATTTTTATATATTTATCATCTGATTTGTTTGTTTTTGTTTTTGCTATAACCAAAGAAAAGAGCATTTAATGTTAATGAATTAACATCCAGATAGTCCAATATAATGGAGGGATTGTGTTTTTTTAGTATGGTAGGTGTCAGAGGAAGTTCTCATCTGTTCCACATGGGGGCATTTTTTATAAAAGGTGAATACAGGTTGTCCTTAACCCTCTGTAGTTGATTTTAGAGTTTACTTTAGTACTTTTCAGTATTTTAAGCACTTTTATCCATAGGGAAGATTCTACTCCTTACGCCTTAATTAACCATTTACATTATTACAGATGCCTTTTCCTCCTCAGTCATTAATTATCTAAACTGAACAACAGTATAGCCTGCTGTGTTTTTTTTAACATTGAAGCCATATTAATCTGTGATTGGCTGTCCTTCTTGACTTGATTTTATGCATATTTTCAAACAAGCCTGTTCCAGCCAACATGATGTCACTGCTCTTCCCCTCCTCTAAATGCACTACTCAGAGGGTTAATGTCTTTGAGGGACACTGAGTGAACCACCCCTGAAATAAATGTTTGGAGTTTATTTCTTGTAACAATTATTTCAGGAGGAATTAACAATTTGGATGTTAAGTGACTGCAAAATTCAGTTTTTCAATAAAAAAATCATGCACTGAAAAACTGAAATCGCTTTATCTGCGTCTTTTGTTCTTTGTGAAGACTGAGCACTTTTTAAATGAAATGTAGTCGCCATGACTAAAGATGTCTTCATCATCTCCAGGAAGGCAATGGATTCTGGGAAAAGGTGAACCCCATCATGTGTGTATGTGTTTGAATCATTCTTTTAAAAGCCCTGCGTCTGGCATGAATAGAAGGAAATGGCTCCGACTTCCCGAGGAAACGTGGAGAGGAAACTTTGGGGGGTGCTTTGACCTCTATGGCTGCACCGGAGCCACAAGAAGACTCACCGGACAGGGAAGCAGGCAGGCAGGGAGAGAGGGAAGGGTGGAGGGTGAGTAGAGAAGTGAGGCAGAAAGATATTTGTTCCCAGACGCAGGAGTTTTTTTAGCACTGGGTTCTGAGTGAAGATGAGGTTTCTCCGAGCTCTGAGCGTTCTGCTCTGCTGCTCCCTGTCCTCTGCACAGACACTGGATCCTGGTGGGAGAAATGTTTGCAAGGATTCAAGGTAGGCTTCACCTGTTTCATCCCTCCTTGTTTTACAGGGGAGCAGCACATAGCTGTAGGAGGCTGTGCCGTTTTCGGCATTACTGACTAACTTAGAAAAGTAGAGAAAGTTAAGAATTTAGGAGCCATAAAGAAAGTATTCCCTAAACTTTTTTATCCATTCATCTCCACAACGCTGGGTCTAACACAGTTATAACCTGAAAACAGGCTTGTTTAGCCCCATTTCTTTTTTCTGTAAAATTTTTTATTTTATGCTTTTTTTTATCATATCACAAATATTCAGGGACTCCTCTACACTGTTGTGTTGCACTGGATGGCGCCAGCAGGGAAAAGAGTGCACTATAGGTGAGCCTGTGTGACCTAAAGCTGGGTCTTAACCTGCTAGGTTAGGTTGGTTCATTCTTTATGTTTCTGCTGTCTGTGTTTTTGTCTTCAGCTCTCTGTGAAGGTGAACAAATGTGTCTTGAGAATGAGATCTGTGTGTTTCCTGGAGTATGCCGCTGCCCACCTGGGTACTATGGAGCTCAGTGTAAAACACGTGAGTTGCTACAAAAAGCAGCAGATGTTTGGTACCTTTTTAACAATATGGTAGAGGTCGCGAAGAAGACAGGACAAATGCTGTCAGAAATGAAGAGATATGTAATAGTAAAAGTGTAATGTGTGTTTAATTGCATAAAATCAATGGTGAAATCATTTATATGACCACAAAGTAAAATCAAACACCTTAAATTACCTGTGATGGTGGTGTATGTTGAAAGTACAGTTTTATTTCAACAGTTATTTAATCCAATTTTATAGAGTTCCATATGTATGAGGTGCCTAAAATATGTATATGTGTCTATGTAAATTTTTACTTGAAGTTAAAACAGAAGGGGTGAGTCAATATATATATAAAGAGTGGAATAATTCAAAATAAGATTAATGGAATAAATTATTAATAGATTATTTGGACCGGAAAAGAAAAATCACAGAGGAAACAACTCTTTTTTCCCCCCATCTTCTTATATGAAAATAAAGCCTAAATTTGTTTGTCGCTAGGTATATTTTACAGTTGGACACTGGGATATTTTATCGCATTTTGAGGGTTCAGAAGTATATTTATATATATGGAGTCAGCACCACTTTAACAGCTGACTGTTAAAGTGGGGTAGTGGAGTACAAAGTAGTAAATTGTAATACATTCAATAAGAGTGAAATCAAAATGAGATAAAAACAAATTTGAAGTCCCAGAGACATAAAGAAGCTTTACTTAATATTTGGTCAAAAAGGTAGTGTCATTATTAAATTTATTGGTCAATAAGTAAAAATTAAATGCATTAATGATAAAAAAAAAACACTTGCACCTAAAATAGATATAAGGAAATCATTTATTCCATTTAAACTGACATAAGCAAGACATTTCACCCAGTCAGGATTAGAAAAACAGATGAGGTCGCCATGTGAAAGATTTAGGCCTCTACATTTATTGCATATTTCACTGCCATCGTCATTCCCCCATTATTTATGAGGTGATTTGAACCAGACTCAAGTCCCAGATTTGGTTACTTTAGATTTAATTTGGTCAAATTAGAAAAGATTGACCACTTGACTGACTTGAGTACTAATATCTTTTGACTTATTTGGGTTCTATTGTCTTTACTTCAAATGTTGTGATGGTCTCATTAAAGTAAAAGAAAAATATTCCACCACCAAGTTGAAAATAAAATATTGATCCTGAATGTTTGCTTCCTCACTTCAATAACGAATCAGGGGTTACTCATTATAATTTGCTAAATCCTTGTGTAGAACTTGGACTGGACTTCAAACTTGTTAGTGTTTTCTTAAAGGTGTTGTGGAGGATTTATACGAATTTTCCAAAAGACCCCACCCTCTCCACTTAAAAAAAAAAAAGCACATGCACAACCCTGTACACGCTCCCGTGAGGGAACGCCTATTGAACTCGTGCGACAGCATGCACAAGCCCATTTCTCCTCGAGGCGGTGCGGGGAACCCAATGATAAGATCGTCGTCGTTTGGAAGGATCTCATCTCACCAACATTTGTATATAAAATAGTTTTCCCTCAAATAAGACTACTGGTAGATTAAAAAATCATGACATGCTTGTAATTGTGTGTGTGTGTGTTAGGCAGTGAGAAGTTGAATGTGTTTAAGGGCTAAATAAGGATCTGTGTTCACCGTATAACTTCTAACGATGCAAATTATAAAATAAAAACTTATTATCCCAGGAATATTACAATATAGAGGTAGATAACTTTTAACAGCAGTGTTGTGAAATAGATTTTTCCAAATAGCATGCCAAACTTTACCTGTCGAGTAGAAACTTTGCAACTGCGGCATCAGTGGGAAGCCCGACCTGTGCTTTTATTGTACGCCATCATGTAAAAGAATCTCTGGTCTTGTTTCTCTCTTCTGAGGCCTTTCTTTTCTTCTCATACACTTCGTAGAAATTTTTTCTCTTACGACCCTTAGCCATTTTTTAAAGAACCGTGGTGCGCATGCACAGAAAAAGATAACTGACTGGGGATGAGCACGTACGTCAACATATCACCAGAATGATTGACAATTAGGAGGATCATTTATCTTGATGATCCACCCGGATAAAGAACATCCTCCACTATACTTTTAGGATTTGAATATAAAGAATTTAGGCTTTGAGACCTGATGGATAAAATGACTTGTTACTATTCTGCAGAAAAGTTGCAACTCAAAGCTGTAAAAGCAACTTTTTGTATAAACTTTATTATCAAATTGACTTTAGATATTGAAAGGTTGGTTTTCATGTAGTCATACCTGATACACAGCAAACTCTTGGTTCATAATGTTAAATGTCAATATTTGACCCATAAACCATCCATTTATTTTAACACTGAAATATTCAGTTTATTTTGGGGAAAAACCTTCAAACGTGATGAAATATGGAAGCTGTAAAAAGGTTTGTAAATAATCCCTGTTCTGTTTTGTTTTGAACGTGAGGCTGTCCTCCTGAGTTCTGGGCGTCAGACTGCCGTCAGGTGTGTCCCTGCTACCCTCATGGCCACTGTAATGCTGTCACCGGCGAGTGTACATGCAACCCCACCCGCTGGGGCCCGCTTTGCCAGAACACCTGCAAGTGCACTCGCAATGGCCACTGCCACCCCGTCATGGGAAACTGCATCTGCGATGAAGGCTGGTGGTCCCCAACCTGCTCCAAACCATGCCAATGCTCCAGCATTGGATCTCTGGGCTCCAGCTGTGACCCGCTAACAGGCCGCTGCCAGTGTCGCAGGGGATACTGGGGGATTAGATGTCAGGCCAGTTGCAACTGTAACCAGTCTCCATGTAATGAGCGGACCGGCGTGTGCGAATGTGAGGCGGGCTCCTGGGGATCCAGCTGTGACAGGAAATGTAACTGTGACCTGCTGCACAGCAGCTGTGACCCGGTGTCTGGGCAGTGCCTCTGCCAACCAGGTTATACAGGGGTTTCATGCAACCACCCTTGTAAAGCTGGGGACTATGGCAGCAGCTGTAAAATGAGGTAAATGATTATTTTAAGCCTGTTTGTTTCCATGTTAGACGTGTCATAACTCCAACTCCTGCCTCTAGATGTGGCCACTGTAAAGACAACCAGCCATGTTCGTCCACTGATGGTGCCTGTGCTGCCTGTGAACCCGGCTGGAACGGCACGCGGTGTGACCGCCCCTGCGCCTCTGGGTGGTACGGTGATGGCTGCAGGCATAAGTGCCCAAAGTGCTGGAATAATGAACCCTGTGATCCAATAACAGGGAAATGTTTGAGATGTGACCCTGGAAGGACGGGAGCCAGGTATAAAAGGGTTTCTGAACTAAAATCAAATTCAGGGCCTTTCATATTGGAGAATAAAAACATTTTCTTATGCATTGGGGTTTTTATATCTTCTCGTGTTTGATATAGTGGGAAAGTGACATATTACGGTTTACCTTTACACAATAACAGTAAAAAAATAAGATTAAAGAATTATTAGTAGCAGACCGACCATAGCAAGAGCGTTTACCCTGAATTTTTTTATTTTTATTTTTGTTCTTTTTAAATGGACCAATACAAATTTGAAGTTAAATATAATCTTCACTAATAAAAATCCAACAAGAGGCAAATAGAGACAAGAAAGGTTTAAAAAAGATAAGCTGACCACCAGTGGTTATAGTAACTGGAAGAGAACGAAGAATTCGTATTTTTACAGATTTTAGAGATCCACACTGAAAAGATTATTTTAAAAATGAATATATTATGGCATACATAGCAGATTATTATTTCAAAGGTACCACAACACCCAGTAAATCCTAAATATAAAGCCGTTTTTCTTGTTTTTTTGTGTGTCCAGCCCCCAATGTTCTGGGGGTTCAGCCTGTGACTTTCAAAAGTGTACCTGATAATAAAAATAAAAAAAACTTCACCAATTAATCTCACAGTTTTAGTGGTACATTTAATTATACAATGGTATAATTAATTATTTTTTGCACTTCATTACTTGCAATTAGAATAATGACATGATAATGTATGAAACAATTCAATGATACCTTTAAGAATCTAAACAGAATTTTAATGTTACATTTTATTTATTTCACTCAACATTTATCTATTATTTTAATAGGACATTCTTATTCATTCATTATACAATGCATTTATTTAACTTATTTTGTACCTCTTTGGTCTACATACACCAGGGTCACATAATGATGATCTTGAAATCCTCCTCCCTAAATTGGTGTCTCATTACACCCTGTTGGTTCCTTTAATTCAATTTTTTCTAACCTCTGCTCTAATGCTGTCTAAGAAAGAGAGGGAATTACAAACAATTGGACTCTTTTAATACTGAAAGCTCTTCTCTAGGCAATTTGTTGCCCAGGATTTAATTAATGTTGGCAAAATTAAAGAAGCTGAAAACCAATTTTCTTCCCGTTAATTAGACTGTACCTTCGTTCTTCTGTCATCTAGAATCCCACAAATATAGTGAGGTTTTTTGTTGGAATATAAAAAAATACTTGAGGAGAATTAATATTATTTTCACTTGAATAACAGGGGTTTTTGTTGTTGTTTTTTTTTTTTCGAAAATGATGGTGGCTGCATCTGCTTTATTGCAATAAAACAGTTTAGAAATGCACATTACTAGCATATACAGTCTGAATGAATGCTATCTATATAATTAGCTCTATTTATTGCATGTTAAACAGTTCTTTGCACTACTGATTAAGTACTGTACTTCTGTGCTAACAATAAATTAGTGCTATCTTGTGCATCCCTAATGGACATGCAGCTTTGTCTGCCTGTTGTAGAAAGTAGAGAATATGAAGTTATATTCCAGATCTTAACTTTGTTCTACTTATGACCCCACCAGGTGTGAGGAGCTCTGCTCTGATGGGAGATATGGAGACGGCTGCCACTTCCTGTGCAGTCCGTGCTTTCAGGGCAAATGCCATCATGTGACAGGAAGATGTGTCTGTAGCCCTGGTTTCCAAGGAGACAGGTAAGCTGTCAGACCTGAATATAGATTTTTTTTGCTTTTGTAGAAATAAAGAAATGACTTCACAAAGTCACACACAGTGAAACACAATCACCCACCCTCATGTTTATTTTGTCTTTTCAATCGCTAACAACATACCAGGGGCTTATTAATACCTTTTTTGGATAATGAAGCCATTATTTGATTAACCTGAAAATAGATTTGAACCATTGATCAATGTTAAAAGCACAGGTCAAATAACTGGATCAGTGACGGTTTCGAAATGGAGCCCTGGACGAGTCCCTTCAACCAATTCTGGAGACTTGATTAACTCATCTACTCATGTTAATGGATCAGTTAACAGATAAGATATTCATTTTTAATCTAGTACTTCTTCTAAACCCTACCACATGTTGCCCTGGGTGATTTCTCATATTGTCAATCCAACCCAACAATATCTCTGGTTTTTATGTTTAGCAACATATCCATCAGTATATTTAAATCAGTAATAGCTCCATTGCAAGATCAAGGATTATTCTAATCTAAAAATGAACAAAGGAGGAATTTCTTATTTTCTGTTGGTAGAATATTCTCTATCACTGTGCATATTTAGGTGGTTTAGAATAAAGTAACTATCATAAATTTGCAAACTGTTATCTGATCTGACAACTGAAATGCAGTTAGTTCATTAAAGAGTTACAGAAAACATTTTTTAATTTTACCTGTCAGATGCACTAGAGTGAAACAAGTCGACTATAATGAAATAAAGGAAATTGATACTAATGGAGCTCTTATTACTACAGGAAGTTCTTCCTCACTATGTTTTTTAAATTGATCAATTTATCATTTTCATTTAAATTTTTTCTGTTTTAGCACAAAAGTATTTCCAAAGACGATGATGCTGAGCAGCCAAGTGCTCCTGATTTACCAAAACAAACTCCACTGCTGTAGACTTAAGATTATCTTATAAAACATGTTTTTTGTGTGTGCAGTTTATCAAATCCCATTCTACTTTATCATCAAAATATGCAATACTTATTTATCTCAAAGTTTAAACTTCTGGAGAAGCAGGAAACATTGGATTACAATTACTTCATTTCTTCCTATAACAATAATTATCATTATCACATTAGTTTTTGGTTTTAATCATGTTTGGTCGTTCGACAATCTCTGAATTAAGAGATATTTATGAATTTAAGACATATTGCTCTGATTTCTGATTTCCAGCTGTAACAGTACCTGTCCCGCTATGATGTTTGGGGCCAACTGCTCGTCCCTCTGTGACTGTGGAGAGGGAGTCAGCTGCAACACCGTCACAGGGGCCTGTCCCTCCAGTATGTAAAGCTACTCACAGCATCTTTCTTTGGTTTGCCTTTGAGCCTAAAGGTCAACTCTTTTGTTCATGCAGGCGGTAGAGGGGCTGTGCTTGCAGGCGTGCTGGTTCCTTTGTTCCTGCTGTTTGTTGCTGTGCTGTGCTGCTGCCTGTGTTGTGGAGGAGGTCCTACTGATGGAAAAAACAGGTTTCTTCCCCACTGGCATTCACAAATATTACATATTTGCAATGTTTTACTGGATTTTTTGCCATCAGGATCTAAGACTTTTAACAAAAGGATGCATATCAGAGACACTGTTGAATCGTTTTTTGTTTCCTTTAATCCGTATTGTAATTTAAAGAGGCTGTTTGAAAACCGATATAATGAAAACATAAGAAATGATAAAAAAAGAGAAAAAAACATACGTTACATATACCTATAAAGCTGTAAAGTGTTCATTTATCTGCTTGTTAAAAGAACATTTTACAATGTTTTAAGAAATTAAATGCCTTGTGTAATTATACTTCTACTTTACTGAATTTAACTTCTGTCTCTTATCTTTCCCCAAGATTATGTTTCCATTGCTGGTAGTGAAATGTAATTGCAAAATTCTCCTTGTTCATATTGAAGCTTTCCTTTGAACAAACACATTTGCTTTTCACTGATAGTGAGCCTACTGCTCAAACTGGGAAATCTATAAATATAAAATGTACCACTCCCCAAGAGCTATGAATCTTACATTTAGGGGGGAAAAATTGTAAAAAAAAAAAAAAAAAAAAAAAGCTCCTTAACTTTTTATTTATTTCACCTGCTTCTGTCTGCTTCTGTGCTGCGGCAGGGTGGCTGTGGCTGAGGGTGGCCTGTTGGTCAGGATGAAATATCACGTCTACAGTGTTCTGGCAAACATCGGTGCTGCCCTCCCCTGTATGTCTGACTGGTCCTCAGGTCTGCCTCGAGTCACTGGTCAGTACCCCCACAAAGGGTTAATCCTGAATCAATTCTTCTCACAAAGTCTGTATTAAGAGTTTGATTAGACTTTTCCTGCATCCAAAACATACATTTGATGTATATTTGACAGATACCTATCAGAGGGCGGTCAAGAGAATGTAATGAACAAAAATAAATAATGTAAAGTCTTCCGCCCCCTGACCTGTCTGCTCCATCTCTTGGTGTTTATGATGCTGTTTGAACATGAATGCTTTGAGACCTTTGCAGAACAGCAATATTTAAGTTTTACTCCACTAATATTACATTAACACTGGTCAGTTGTTAAAGGCAGTGGGATTTTACTTTAAAAGGACAAGTTTTATAATTTTGTATCAATTATTTTATATTTACATACTAAGTTGTGTTGTTTTAAAACACTTAATTCCCTCAAATACACAAGGTTAAAAAATATAACACTACACCATGCAAAAACCCCCCCTGAAAATAAACATAAAGTGTTCTTATTTTTCTTTTTTGCCTTTGTCATAATGCCTTAATATGATGTCTAGTTTTCTGTTGCCGTTTGTTGCTTTTTTTCATTATACAGATGCGGCGGTGTGTCCTTAGCTAGGATTTTATTTCTCATGTAATTAATATTATTAATTTTTATAGTCTTGCTCATGGTATGTTATTGATATTACGTAATAGACTAAAATCATAACTGAAACAAACAAACAAAAAAAGCTAAGCTTTTTTTCAAAAAACAAATATTAACTTGGCTAACAGATACTAAGAATGAATCACTATTAAAACAGAATTGAAAATCAGAAGCTACAAAACAAAAAAAGAAAACTAATGAAAAATTCAAAACTATGTAAACCTTGATATGAAATCCTTGACCTTAACCTTCGCTGGTTGTCTATGTTTCAGTATAACGTGACACGCTTAGTGTCTTGGTTTGTTTCTGCACTTTGTTGTGTTGAAGTTTTTTTTCTTTATTTGCACACAGTTTCCCACCATGACCCAGAGCTGACCTTTAACCACAGCTTCATTGAGCCTCCTTCATCCGGCTGGGTCGATGAGGGTTCGTCCTTCGACAGCGATGAAGAGGAGGGAGAGTCCCTCTACTGCGTTCCCCCGAGGGAAGGTAGGAGCACAGACACAGCTGGAAAGCAGGAGCGTTACGGTCATGAACGTCCTCTCTGTGTCCTCTCTGTGTCCTCTCTGCAGATATCCCTGCTGTGGCAGGTGGGGAGTTCCAGGAGATGAGCTCCAAGTGTAACATGTTCCTAGACCCATCTGGGTTTAGCAACGAAGACATTACGTCGTCCTTCAACATCCCTCGGACCTCCAGCATCGCCAAGTCCAAGCGGCCGTCTGTGTCGTTTGCAGAAGGGACACGCTTTAGTCCCAAAGAGAGGCGTGGATCCGGTCAGGACCCCGGTGGTCCTTCTCGCGGCAAAGCTAAGACCCCCTGGGGGGTTTTGATGCTGTCGGCCCTCCAGAGTCAGGGAGGCACAGCTAGGACTGGGGAGGAGGATGAAGATGAAGAAGAGCAGAGAGGAGATGAGGAAGGGGCTCAAACAACAGACGATCAGCAGTCAAGCCGTGAGGACCAGGAAGTAGACAGTAACCCATCATATGCGAATTTACAAGTCCCTGGAACATCAGGACGAAGACGGACCATGTCCAACACAGCTGGTCTGAAAGGAACCCCGACCCCAACATCTGATGGTGAGGTGGGAGCTTCTCATAAGCTGACCACAGTATATGTGACGGTAGGAAAGGCTGGGAGGCCTGTAACAAAACCAGAGTCAAGCTCTGAAGGGCCCGTCCAGGCCATGCTGCGCAGACTTGGCAGCCTGCAGAGACAAAGAGAGCAGGATGGAGGAAAGTCCAAGTCAAAGCCCGTCGAGGGGATCACTAAACCTCCAAGGAGGAAGCTGGGAGCTCGTGCCGCAGTGTGGGAGCAGGGAGGGCCGTCAGGAGCACAGACTAAGCCGATCAGGCAGAAGAATGTCTCAGAGGCTCCTCCATCAGAAGGAAACACTCCCAAACGACCTCTGTCATCAATTCTGAAAAGCGTCCCAGAGTTGGCCGCCGCTGACTGTGGGTCAACTCCAAGAGCTGAAGGAGCAGCCGTGCACAGTGTGAATGCAGGTGTAGAACAAACAGAGAGCAGCTATCTGACAGTGGGACCAGCAGGAGAGGCCGCTGAGATTATCAGCAACCAAGAAGCAGCACACTATGAACCCTGCTATGAAAACGTCCTAATTACACAACCATAAACCACAGACGCTGAGCCAGAAGATCAGAGCGTGATGAACCTTGTTTATCCCAATGGAGTAAAAAAAAATTACAGACATAAAGTAGTGCTTTAATTTATCATTTACACGATAACGCTACAATCAGTTGATATTTGGATTATGAAAACGAATGAAACATGAAAAACACTTCAGAACAAGATCAACAAGATAGAACAGCATGTGATTCAAATATCTGTAGAGCTGTTAAACAGAAGTCCTTTTCATTGACTTCATAGCGATTTCTGTGCTGCTAATTTGTTTGACATCACATCACAGCTTGAGCAACAGCAAGTAATATAAAAAAATTAACACAAGTTGAATTGCTTTTGTAGAAATAAAAATTAGGATTACATCGTTTTTTGTTTGTTTTGTCTATAGAGACACCTTTTTGAAGCCTGATGTCGATCTGAGGAAAGTTCTTCTTTCTGTTTTTTGCTATTTAGACTGTTTCAAGTCACCATAGAGCCTCTCATTGAGTTCAAGATCTGGACTAAAAACTTTGCACTTATTCATTCAGAGCCCAGTTTGAGCAGATTTTCAAGACATCCCCAGACCATGACACTTCCAACTCCATGCTTCACAGATGGGTTTCTGGTTTATGTGTATATGTTTATGCTTCCTCTGGCAAATCTTAGTCTGGCCTTCAATTAAGTATTATTTTATTTTATTTTTTTACAGGTACTCACTTTCATACCAACAGTACTGTAGGTCCTATTATCACATTTAAGGATCTTTGGAGACATCATGTCCAACTCGGAGTAAACTGGATGATCAGAATTTTGAAAGTTGGAAGTTGTTTGAATGCCATCCACAATTAAATGTCTGATTTCTACTGTGACATCACTTTTAATTCTCCTACCAGACTTCTTATCTACTTAATATTATTCATAAAAGCCTCATTTAACATCATGAGGGAGTACTCTCTTATCTCAATGGTCAGATTTTGTGGCAAACCTACAAAATGACTGATTTGTGGCTCATTTGATGTGCAACTGTATCACACCAGTTACCTTTAGTTTTTCTTGTTTATTTAAATTGATTGAATTTCTCTGCATTGCTCAGATTGATGTAACATATCCTTCAAAACAGATATACAAGAAGAAAAACATGTTGTGGGTTGTCCTAATTATTTCCCCTGCAGTGTAGATTCCCTCTGTTGCGTAATGAAGTACTAGAGACAAAGTTGAACTTCTGTGCATTTTCACATCCGCTGCTGTACTGTTGCTGTTCTCTAACAGGAAATCACCTGTTATGGGGGTCTGTAGATTGGAACTAACATGTCTGCAGTATATTGTTCTTCATTCACTCATTTTTGTTAAAGGTACAAATAGTAGACATGAAATAGAAAGTATAAGGAAGACTTTTTTCAACATTTTTTGTTAGTTCTTTGCCATCTTGTGATTATCTGACTTGAGTCCGTTTTGTGTGTTTGATAAAGTCAATCAGCTGATGCTGCAAACACATGGTAGCCACTAAAAAAAATCAGCCATTCAAACTTTGACCCTTTGGACTTTCTCTGGTTGCTGCTGTTTGCTGATCTTTATGAATGACGTTGCAAATGTTTGGCACAGATAGCTTCTATGAACATGACTCATCAGTTAAACATTATTTTAAACTCACACGACAAAAACAGACAACAAGGGTAAATGGGTTAAACTACTTCTTCTCCTTTCCGTTTGCGTCTGAACAGCCGAGCCAGTACTTGGCGATGGATCTGGGGTATGGAGGCATAGCAGGATCCACTCTCTTGGTCCTGAGGTCCACTCTGTAGTATTTGTCTAAAAAAAAAAAAAAAAAACGCAAGAGAGTCCTTTGTTAAAGCAAAAGTTCTCAAACCTCTTAAGAGAAGCACTGGTAGGTTTAAAGAAATTCAACAGGACTTGACCTTTTTTATTTAGTTGAATAATTTGATAAAAACAAAAACAAAAATGAGAGAAAAAAATGGTCATAAATGTTAAAAGGGATCTTATCAATTTCCTCTACAGTTTGGTTTTGGGGGCCGGATTTTAAAAAAGGTACAGAGAAGTGCATTAAAATCTAAGGTTTCACACCAATCTCGATCTCATAATCCAATATGGCCGCCTACAAACCGTAGTGATAGCTGTAATAACAGCTTTATTTGCACCTCTAAATATTATTCAATCCATTTTACTGTTATTTTCAACCTTTTTTAGGTAAAATGCAACTAAAGTCTGAAAATATGGCAAACAATAAAATAAATTTTATTAGCACCTTTTTCTAATAGTAGTTAGACTGTTACTCAGCAGTTTTTATCAGAAAGTCCCAAAGGACTGAAACAATTATTGATTGGTTTGATATTATTTGGGAGTTCAAGGTTAGCAAGACATAAAAACATTTTGCTGAACTTGTGTTGGTTTGGAAATGATGAAAAACATAACACGTTAGGTGTTTTCTCTCTCTGCTTGGGGAATATTGCAACAATTCTTCACTGAAGTGTAAATACAATTAGCTTTGATTCCAATCTTGCATAGCGGCTTGGTGATCACACAAAAAAGGCTTAAAGAGGAACTCCCCTGATTTTTAGTCATTTCCGCTTTTGTCATGGGTTAAAATACAGAGCATGTGAAACTGGTTACTATAATAAGTCTTGCAGACAGAACAGGAAGGAAAATCAAATTATTTTCTCTCATTGAATCAACTCAGACTTTCCAGACTTTTTTTTATGAAAATCTCTAAATTCCTTGCAATATTCTCTACTAAGGCTTTCTAATGTAAATTAAGTATATTATAATACGTGAAGATGATATTTCAATATTCCTGTTTACCTTCTTTAAAGAAGAAAACACTCTGGATGGGCATTTCCCTTTGGAGGAATCGATCATTTCTGGTGTCATAATTGCCTCTGTTGTTCTGGTTGTAACGATCCCAGTCCCGATCCCACCTTCTATTCTGGTCCCAGTCCTGATTCCATCGTCTGTCCTGGTTCCAGTCCTGATCCCGCCTCCTGTCCCAGTCTCTGCCCAGTCTCTCCTCCATCTCCATTCTCCTCTCTGCCAGTCTCAGACCCATTTCCATGCCCCTCTCTGCAAACCCCTGCCCCATGCTCATACCCTGCTCAGCCATGGACCCCCAGGAGGGGGAACGGTTCCACCGCCTCTGACCTCTCTGCCATCTGTTCTGCTGGTACTGCTGGCCCCACTGCTGGTCCAGCCATAATGATGGCCTCAAAGGAGAGACGTAGATCCTGCCGGCCATGGCTGCATCAATTGGAGACTTGAGGCCTTTCCAGTCTTTGTTAATGAAGTGACGCTTGTCATGATGCTGAGGTACTGTGTGAGATACGAGTCATCAACATGAGCACGTGCCTCTTTCTTTAAAATATATAGTGCCCTGCAATCCATGTTTATTTAAGTTACAAACAGAAATAGTAAAAAACATCCATGATTTGTTTCTTTTCTAACAAAAAAATCTAAGCTGACAATTGATTTTTATTCAGGTCCCTTGGGTCTGTGCTTATAGAACCACTTTTCCTCTACATCCCAAATAGTTCTCCTGTGATTTTTATAATTTTTTATTTAAATCTTTACATAACTCAGGTTTAATTAAGTGGGACATATAGCATCCGAGAGCACATATTTTAGGGCCTCTCAGCAGATTCTCAGTCTAGGCCAATAAGTATTAAAGTAAAGAAGGAGAACAGATTACTTGATGTGTAAATGTAGATAACGGTTAAGCCATATGAATCCTCTTACTAAACTTACAGTCGGAGAATAGTTCACTGAAGAAGCGCTCATAGTTGCTGTAGTACAGGTCTGTGTATCGCCTGAAGAGTGTTGACGGAGACCTCTCAGACATGGCTGCACACTCCTCATGGGAGGGTTGGTGTAAAAACTCGTACACGTAGTACTGGTCGCCTGGATCAAGCCACAGTATAGTTAGTAAGCCACAGGGTCACCTCTAAACTATAAGATAGCAGCAATACAATAAAGTTATGGGAATACCTTTGAAAAAGTAAACTTTCTCCTTTCCATGGTGGCTGTGAGCAGGAAGGGCAAACGCTGCATCAACGTGATCAGGAATCTTGTCAAATCCAACACTGATGTCCCGTGGGTAGTCACCCTCCAGGACGCCATCGTCAAACCTCCAGTACTTGTTTCCCTAATGGGTGTATTAATAACAACAGGTTAGAAACCAATGATATTCATCTGGTGATAATGTCTCCATGCCATCACCTTAAAGATGTAGGTCTTCCCCTGACAGTTGATGCGGGTGAACGCAGCATCGATTGGCCCACTGATGCCCCACACATCTTTTATCAGCTTGGGATAACCGGGAAGAACCGCCTTCTGGTCCAGCTCAAAGAAGTACTCCCCTGGAAATCAGAAAACATGCAATGAAGCTACTATAATGAAAGAAAACATATCTAGATGACTATAACTGTATTTCAGATAAAATATGTGCTACCTCTGAAGGCGTAGATGGAGCCATTTTTAAGCTGCATGAAGGAGTCAAAAGGCCTTCCACTACAGACCACAGCATCTGGATCGGGTGCTTCAGTGGTAGCTGCTGTTGTGTTTGGAGCAGCTGTTGTGGTTGGAGAAGTCTGAGCAGCTTCAGTTGTGGAGGCGAGCTCACTTTCAGGGGTCACTCTTTGATTCACAAGTAGCGAAGGTTTGGTCATTTCCAGATTGGACTCCCTAGGTTTATGTTCTCTTTGGTTAAAGTCTGGGGCGGGGGGCTGGGTGGATGCAACAGCTGGGGCATCTTCAGGGGAGGAAGTGGGGGTTTCAAACAAGTCATCATCATCATCATCCTCTGCAAACACAAAGGTGTCACCACGGGCTGATGGGGAACAAGAGTATCGTTAACAGCAGTGCTCGTCGTAGGAATCGAACTAGAGACTGTGTAAAAATATGCAAACTCAGATTAGGAGCGTAAGAGATACGTTTTCTTACTCGTCATACCGCAGATGACCTCAAAGTCAGAGCAGCAGCTTTTGTAATACTTGCACATGGAGTCACACTGGCACTTCCTCTGAGCCTCAAATCCATTTTCACATCGGTTTAGACAGGACTCTTTGGATAAAACGATGCACTTCATTCACTTCCTCACTTTCAGCTAAATCTGTTTTGTTAGTAAATCTCCCAGAAAAATTAATTACTTCCCTCTGGTTCTTGATAAGATTATATTTGATTACAGTCATATGAGACTGACAGTACAGCAATGGATCAGATCCAATTATACCGACCTTTTGGATGCTTGGAGAAGTTAGAAGCTACCTTGTTTGATTAATTAGTCGAGGGAACCTCAGTTTTTTGATCAGCCATAGATTAGAATGTAAAGATTGCAATCGGAACATTTTGTGAGACATTTTGCAAATTTTAAGTAATTTTTTCCCACCAAAACATTATTCATGGAAAAGCACTATGGGCAGATTCTGGGCTTTCTGGATGTCAGGCTAAGAGGTAAAAGCAGACTGGCCTTCATGGCCACTTTGCCAAACTTCCATGTTTTTTAGTTGTTTACCAGAAAGACCAACAACATAGAATCGGATCATTGTGAATGAGAAAATAAAAAAAATATATGGCTTTTAAAATCTGAAAATCTGATCTGCGCATTACTCCCTTTGTTTAATTCCCTGTGGTGGATCCTTCTACCTCCACCCCAAATTGTTTGTATAGTTTTCATAGTTCATATTTAGTTCCATATCTAGTTTAAGTTGTTTCATTTAGATGTATGAAATTTAGACGTATGGGTGCACACTTTACTTAATGGCTGAATGGTTTAACTCACACTTTTTCTTTTCTTTGAGGTTCTGCAAATGCAGATCAGCTAGAGGTGAAAGCCAGGAACATACCACTTTCCCAAAGAGCTGAGGGGGGAAATGTTGTTTAAGTTGACATTATTTTTTTGTCAACTTTATATGCACTTATTATTGTGTGCTAAGTTAAAGAGTTGCTTTATTTGTTTAATATGTTTTAATGCATGGAGTTTTTCTGATTAGTTGTTTCTCTGTTATATTGTGTCTCCCACATGTGGCAGGTTTAAGTTATTCCACCCCTATTTAAGCAGCCTCTGTTCTTTATTGGTAGGTCAGTTTTTGTTTACTGTTTAGTTGACCTCAGTTTATTTGGGCCAAAATCAAATCATATTTATTATTTAAGTGATTTGTATTGCCGTTTTAGCCATAATTATTTTTGACATTATTAAATCAAGATTTTTTTTTTTCATTTTTGAACACCCTTTGTCCTCATTAAAGTTTGGTCCCTTACATTCCCCCAAGGAAAAGTGTAACCGGTTGCCTACAGGCGTCACCTCATTGACCAACAGAACTCACCTGTATGTACTTTGATTTTAGAAAACTAACTTTTTAGAAGCTTCATTGTTTTAAGAATCTACTGACTGGACACATATTGGTTATATACTGCATAACATGTCCCAGATGGAGCATAAAACACTCCAGATCACATCATTACCATTCTGACACAGGGAATCAGCTTTTCTTTAGGGAAAACAGAAAAACCACACCATAGTTGATTGCAGATGTGGAAAGTAACTAGTTACATTTACTCAGTTGCTTGAATAATAATAATTAAAAAAAGATTTAGGAGTAGTTTTACTGCACTATACTTTTTACTTTAACTTGAGAAAATATTGTCACTAGAGCTAAAAAGATTTATGGTAAAAAGAAAATTGTCCTTCTTTCTAGAAAGTTTAATTTTTCACTTACATATATATTTTTTGTTTAAATCATTTTATTGAGTCTTTAACGTACCAGATGTTACACATTACTTTACATTTGGATCTGTCATTATTACATAACTTTAAATATCAGATGTTATGATGAGTGATTTAGCACCTGAATAGCCTTTTTCTAAATACTTTTTACTCTAGTGATTAATTTCCTAGATGGCTACTTTTTACTTTTACGTAAAAATATGATTAAGTAGTGCTTGATCTTATTTATCTTGAGTACAATTTTTGTTGGAGGTTCCATTTTAAAGCCAAATACAGCAGAAGCCAGAGCAGCCAGAGCGGCAGTGGTTCCCAAAAGAAGCATGTCTATGGGTTCAGACTGATCAGTACAAGCTCTTAGTCCAATCCAAATTAAGCATTTAAAAAAAGGAATTTTATCACTTGAATATGCAAAGCTGATAGAGGTGGACTTCTGTTGGACCTGAAGGGGCTTCTTCAAACTATTAATCTGAATGGTTGAACTACAATGCATGCTACACTTTTAAGATTTTCATTAATAAAACCTTCTAAAAACCAGATATCCTTTTTTATTTAGTTTATCATCATTGCGTGTCAATGTAAAATAGATCAAGTCAGGTTTAATTACATTTCCAAAGTTCCCTGCACTAAATCAAAGGCTTGTTATGAGATCAGAGCGAATCAACTGTGTCCTATTCAAAACAAAAAATTGATTAAACATAAAAATTATGTTTAATTACTGACCTGGCTAGAGAAGAGGTTAGTAGGGAAAGAGGCTGACACCAAGGTTAATGCCCCGTAAGAAGGGTAAAAAGAAAGGTTTCTTAAGAAGAAGACACAATTTATTTTTTTTCATTACTCACCATCTTGGGCGAAGGCCTTGGTGCTCAGAGCGAGCAGAAGAAGGACACACAGCTTCATGCTGTCTCTGTTCTGTCAGCAGACAGACTGAGGAGGTAATGATAAACCATGCGCTCTAGGTTATTGGAAGCATGTGTCAGTCACCCCTCTTCCCTCTGTTTACTTTAACCTCGTTTGTTCACAAGCAGCCAATTCCAGACAGAAAAGGAAAGAAATCAATAAGAAAACACAAAGCTGGATTCATCTGAAGGAAACATGTTATCTGTTTTTGGTTCAGTTTATTGATCTTGAAGTGAGTGTCTTCTGTAAAATTGATGAGTTGTGTGTCCTCTGTGGAACATCCTAAATTTCTGAAGTGGACAGCTCTGTTTTGCCAATTGTTCAGGAAGCAAACACATAAGTGGTTTTACAGATAAACAGACACAGATCAGACCCGCAGCTGCATTTCAAAATGCTGCTTTCAAGAGGATAACTGCAGTCAAAAGCAGGGGTAAAAAATCAACCTCCAAAAAAACAGTACTGGCTGAGTTTTCTACAGTCTCCAAAACATTAAAACTAGTACTGTTCCTTAACTTAGATGATTTATTTATATTGACAATGAATCCTTGTTCTGTTGGGAAGTTTGCACACATATTTCTGACATGATCTAATTAGTTTCCTGAAATAAATCCACCTATGTGAATAACTTAAAGCTAAAGAGGAGGATTTGCGTGAATGAAAAAGACAGACCCTCTCCACTTAAAAAAAAAGCACATGCACAACCCTGTACCCGCTCACGAGAGGGAATACGTGTTAAACGTGTGTGAGAGCATGCACTAGTCCATTTCTCCTCGTGCAGGCTCTGTTTAAAATTGCTTTTTGCAACCCTCATACAATCTTACCTTCCAAGAGAAGAAAATGGGGACGAGCGTGAAGGACTGCCTTACATATCACTAGAATTATTGACAATTAAGAGGACAATTTATTTTGATGATCCACCCGGAAAAAGAACATCCTCCACCATACCTTTAGTGTGAGTATAAATAAAGCTTTTCTGTCAAAGAATGTTAGAAAACATTATTGAACAAACATGAGCATGAAGCTCATGTTTGACAGTAGAAGACAGTAAAATCATTAGTAAAAGAAGCAATTAAAAATGCTAATTGTTTTATAGAGGTCACAGAACACACAAGGACTAGGGGCTTATCCTGAACCCAAACACTCTGGCATACATGCAAAATGTCACATTTTAGAAAACCAGAACTGTACATCTCCTGAGTGTACCATCCCTATAATTTTGACTTTTTATATGTAAGAACCATCAAAAGCGGCAAAAATCTAAAATGCTGGTTGTTTTCAATCCAGAGTAAATGGTGTGTGCTATTTTCAGCCTCCCGTTTCTAAAATGTAAAGCTGTTAGGAACAACAATAAAAGTCTAAACATTGAGTCAGAAAAAGGAAAGTGTTGCAGTTGAAACAAGGAAATTCACAACACCAGAAATAGGGAACCAAATCATAAAAACAGGAAACAAAATTTGACTTAACTATTTAGGGATCTACATCAGGTATCTTTATAAGAGCTGCAGTTATGGGCTGTTGGTAATTGGATTTAGAGAATAAATCTGGAGATGGTGCTGGAAATTTAGTTTGTTACAGTTTGTATGAAAGTTAGACAGTTTGGAAAACAAAAACAAGTCTCTTTATAGCATTAAATTCATTCATAACATTCATGAATCTTAACATTTCTGGAACTCCCCTTCTTTCATTAATAAGATATGGTAAGATAAGATAAGATAGCCTTTAATGATTTTACAGTGGAGAAATTCACTTGTCACATCGGCTCAACAGTCAAAAGAAGGAAAAGGTGCATGGGGTATATACAGTATATACAGTGCGTCCATATATATATATATATATATATATATATATATATATATATATATATATATATATATATATATATATATATATATATATATATATATATATATATATATATATATATATATATATATATATATGTGTGTCTGTGTGTGTATGTATACATGGGATGTACCACCGACAGATAGAGGCCAATGTGACCAAATCCTATCAATGGCTAGAGAGCTATAAAGGCCCAAATCTATCAAACCAGGCAAGATCCAAGGTGCGGGCTATTGTCCCTGAAACAATCCACCATCTCACAGCAGGGTGTACAGGCAAGAAAGGAATACATGGAAAACCATAACCAAGTGGCCTCAGGTCAAAATGGGAGCCACCTCCAAAGAAAGACCAGTGGTGGAGAATGTCAGAGCTAAAATCCAGTGGGACTTCCACATACAAACAGATTAAATAGTGGTGACCAACCAACCAGGAATTTTGATCATTGATAAGCAGCAAAGGACGGCCATAGTGACCAATGTAGCAATCCCAAATAATGGGAAGATCCAGAAGAAAGAGCGAGAAGATGGAGAAATACCAAGGGCTCAGGGAAGAACTAGAAGAAGCCCGGAAGGTGAAAGCAACTGAATCCTGGGTTTGACCCCTGAACTAGTTTTACTCTGCATGCAGTATTCATGTTCTTCTTTGCAAACTTGGGTTCTCTCCCCCAGTCTAACAGTCAAGAAACATGACTATTAGGTTAATTGGTGATTATAAAATTACCCTAGGAGTGTGTGTGTGTGTGTGTGTGTGTGTGTATGGTTATCCATCTCTGTGTTATTAGTTTATTTCGATTTGGGTTGTGGCGGCCTAGTGGTTAGGGCATTGTGCTTGGAATTCTGAGGTTCTGAGTCCCAGCCCCACTCCCACAGACTGCCACTCTGGCACTCTGAGCAAGATCCTTAACCCCACATCGCTCCCCAGGTGCCGCACATTAAATGCATAGAGTTAAATTAATTGCTCTGTTCTTGTGACAGTGTAATGACAATAAAAATATAGAAAAACAAAGATTAGACGTTTCAGAGTTTTTCTTCGTCTGATTTACTTCTTTATTACCCATCAAATATATACATGTAGTTTTTGTTTACATTAAGTATGTTTCCTCTCTAGCGTTTTTGTAATTGCAACTGGTAAGTTATTGCAGTTTTTAATTGACAAAATTTACTTTATTGTTCCTAAATGTATTTTTAATTACTGATATAATTCATGCATGTCATTTCCTTTTTCTCTTTTTTTAATTGTAACTTATTTCCCTCACTTTAATCTCAATTTTTCATTGTAATTGTTAGTTGTCTTGCTATTTTAGGAAGTTAAAACTGAATCTGTTCCTGTTGTGGTCCAGCTTTGATGACTCAAAAAAAGTGGAAATCCACAAAAGCTACCGATGCATCATGGACTAATTTTACGCAAGCAAAAGAAAAAAATTTCCAGGTAAAGTCCTTTGGTTTTCTCAGTTTATTTTCTCCTCAGGCAAGCAAACAGAAAAAAGCCAAACATTTCCTCCATGTTTCTCTTGTGCAGGTAAAAAAACATACGCCCACCCAGATTCCTGCTGGTCCTACTGTTGACAGCCTACAGGTGCTGGTCATAAAATTAGAATATCATGAAAAAGTAGATTGATTTCAGTAATTCCATTTAAAAAGTGAAACTTGTATATTATATTCATACATTACATACAAACTCATATATTTCAGATGTTTATTTTGTTTAATTTTGATGATTACAAATGACAACAAATGAAAATCTCAAATTCATCATATCAGAAAATTAGAATATTGTGAAAAGGTTCAAAATTGATGGCCCCTGGTGCCACACTCTAATCAGCTAATTAACTCAAACCACCTGCAAAAGCCTTTAAATGGTCTTTCAGTCTAGTTCTATAGGCTACACAATCATGGGGAAGACTGCTGACTTGACAGTTGTCCAAAAGACGACCATCGACACCTTGCACAAGGAGGGCAAGACACAAAAGGTCATCGCTAAAGAGGCTGGCTGTTCACAGAGCTCAGTGTCCAAGCACATTAATAGAGAGGCGAAGGGAAGGAAAAGATGTGGTTGAAAAAAGTGTACAAGCAAGAGAGATAACCGCACCCTGGAGAGGATTGTGAAACAAAACCCATTCAAAAATGTGGGGGAGATTCACAAAGAGTGGACTGCAGCTGGAGTGAGTGCTTCAAGAACCACCACACACAGACGTATGAAAGACATGGGTTTCTGCTGTCGCATTCCTTGTGTCAAGCCACTCTTGAACCACAGACAGCGTCAGAAGCGTCTTGCCTGGGCTAAAGAGAAACAGGACTGGACTGCTGGTGAGTGGTCCAAAGTCATGTTCTCTGATGAAAGTAAATTTTGCATTTCCTTTGGAAATCAAGGTCCCAGAGTCTGGAGGAAAAGAAGAGAGGCACTTCATCCACGTTGCTTGAAGTCCAGTGTAAAGTTTCCACAGTCAGTGATGGTTTGGGGTGCCATGTCATCTGCTGGTGTTGGTCCATTGTGTTTTCTGAGGTCCAGGGTCAACGCAGCCACATACCAGGAAGTTTTAGAGCACTTCATGCTTCCTGCAGCTGACCAACTTTTTGGAGATACAGATTTCATTTTCCAACAGGACTTGGCACCTGCACACAGTGCCAAAGCTACCAGTACCTGGTTGAAGGACCATGGTATCCCTGTTCTTAATTGGCCAGCAAACTCTCCTGACCTTAACCCCATAGAGAATCTATGGGGTATTGTGAAGAAGAAGATGCAATACACCAGACCCAACAATTCAGAAGTGCTAAAAGCCACTATTAGAGCAACCTGGGCTATCATAACACCTGAGCAGTGCCACAGACTGATCGACTCCATGCCACGCCGCATTGCTGCAGTAATACAGGCCAAAGGAGGCCCAACTAAATACTGAGTGCTGTACATGCTCATACTTTTCATGTTCATACTTTTCAGTTGGCCAACATTTCTATAAATCCTTTGTTTTTATTGGTCTTCAGTAATATTCTAATTTTCTGATATGATGAATTTGAGATTTTCATTTGTTGTCATTTGTAATCATCAAAATTAAACAAAATAAACATCTGAAATATATGAGTTTGTATGTAATGTATGAATATAATATACAAGTTTCACTTTTTAAATGGAATTACTGAAATCAATCTACTTTTTCATGATATTCTAATTTTATGACCAGCACCTGTATTTATCAAAATAATTCACCCAAATTATTCATAACTAACCAAAAACAGCCAAAAAAAACCTATAATAATAATCATAATTATAAAATAATAATTATATAAAAAATAACAATCTCATAACAGATATCAAACAATAAAGTAAAATAAAATTAGCTAGATTATGCAAAAAAAAACAAAAAAAAAACTTAAATTATTAACAAAAAATAATTGGCTCCTACAATTCCCAGTTGTGGATGTTTTTCCACAATTACTTGACAAAAACACTATGGTTAATAATGCACATCATACTAACATTAAAGATGATAAGTACAGAATTCATGCTCTTTTCAGAACAAGATGTTGTGTTTTATGTGGTAAAGAAAATATGATGTATCTGCAAGTCATCTAGGAGTCTTCAGTGAAATCATAGAAAAACAACAATTTTAACAAAAACACATTATATAATACATTTATGTAGATTTTGGTTCTTGTAAATATCAATTTTATGCAGAATGATTATTGATAAAAGTAGGTAAGTATTGACAATGGAAAAGATGTTTCGCCCCGAGAACCTGAAATATACCTTTTATCAAGATGAATGTTTAAATATATATTTTTATTTGTTAGCAAAGGCTGTAGGAAAGTATAGATTGTCTTTATTCGGAAAATATGGATGTCGTGCTCTTTCATTTTCTTGTTGGAACAGTTGACCCTATTGGTTATTGCCTGGCCACCCTTAGAAAGATTTTCTGGCTACGCCTCTGACTCAGCAGGGGGCCTGGAGACTGTGCGCGCTCTGCGCATGCGCTGACCGGCTGAACCAAAGGTAGAGAAAAGGAGGATGGAGACTGTGTGCATGATTTATCCGAAACGTCTAAAACTAACTGAATGATATTATTATAGGAGTCTAGGGCTGCTCTATGTAAGTGCTACAGTTGATATTTATGCTTTATAAAGCCGTTATAGATATCTGGTTGCTGTGGAAACGAGGACTATGACATCTCATCCTTTGTCTCTGAACGAGGAAATACAATATAAGTTGCGTCCTGCTGAGGAAAAATCTTTGCTTCTTTGACATTTTTGATCGTTGGATTTTATTTATTTTATTTTTTTTTTTTACAGAAGTACATAGAAATGTTAATCGTGGAAATAGATTAAGCATCCTCCGAGTTCAGGATCTGCTATAGAGGTGATGCAATGTGATGAAAGCCATCAGGAGTTATCTGTGTATCTTTATGATTCAGTATTTGCTTTAATTTGGTCATTTTAAAAATCTCCTGGACCAATCAGTGCATCGGGCCGATCTGTAAACGGCTGCAGGCCAGGATCTCCCTCTGTTTATCAGTCAGTAGATGCTCTTGTTGCTGACGCTCTTCCTGTTCAGGCTCCACCGACACCTCGGCCTCATGTTCAGCTCAGACAGACTCACTGTCCCGGAATATGTCAGCCGGCTGCAGAGAGGGAGGAGCGGCTCTGAGCCCAAGCCGGTCTCCCCGGGGCTCAGCGCAGACGTCCAGGCGGTCCTGAAGGACTCCCTCCCCGCCCTGCGGGAAGCCATCAGGAGCCTCAGGACAGCCAAAGAAAACTGCGACTCAGACGAGACCCGCAGGGCCGTCGCGGAGATCTACCAGCTGGTGGAGGAAGCCTGGGTGCTGCCCACCGTGGGCCGTCAGGTGGCGGAGGAAATCTGCAACAGGATCCGGCTGGATGGAGGCCTGGAGCTGCTGCTTCAGCTGCAGCAGACATCAGCCTTGGAGATCATCTATGAGTCTGCGAAGCTGCTGGAGCAGATCCTGATCTCAGAGAACAGGTAGGGATCCAGCCAGTCTGTAAAATTCTATTCAGTTTATTTATTTACAGTTTATTTACAGTTACACCAGATCATACAGTTTAATTGATTAAAAGTTTTCTATCTGAGGAAAACCAGTTGATTGCATGCAATCCCTCACTAAGCATGCTTGTAGCGACAGTGGAGAGGAAGAACTCCCTTTTAACAGGAAGAAACCTCCAGCAGAACCAGGCTCAGTGTGAGTGGCCATCTGCCGAGTTCTACTGGGATTCAAGGAGACAGAAGCAGAGATACAAATGAAGTTACAATTGCCTTAATAATGACACTGTGTCACAAGAAGGCAGGTTGAGTGTAAATTGCAGAGTCAGTCACTGAGAATTTCTCTATTTTGGGGGATAAATTATTTTATTTATGTCTCTATTTTCAGTTTTGAATTTCTTATGCTTAATGACATTGTTTTAACCACTCCAAATTTAAAATCTGGACCTTTTATATCTCTAATTTGGGTAAGCCATTCCAAAAACTTAAAATAAGTAACTTTTCACCTAAAATTCAGTCTTTAATGTGAATTCTGTCCTGTCATAGCATCAATGTGAATCCCAGCTTTAAACGTGAATCTATGGTTTGAGTTCGATATGAAGACTTTAGAGGCATTTCTCCAACTTATTTGTTCCACACGTTTATTCTGTGCATTGCAACTGAACTGGAAGTTAAACCGCCAAATATCACAGTGCTTGATGATGGGTGAAATCTTTGTTTTGGTTTGAAAGCCTTACCTAAACTTCTTCAACCTTTACTTCTCTAAGCACATGCCTATCAGCCAGGAGGCTTTTGCCCTGTCTATGTAAGCAGCTGCAAGTATCACAGATGGTTGTGGACACAGGTGTTTCAACAGGAATGTAATCCCAAACACAATCTCCTGTTTTGGGACAGTTACAGCGAGTTAAGCTTCTGGATCTCCACCTCGTTGAACATTTGTGGATTCTGCTTTAAAGCTGGGTCATTGAATTTGTTACCATCATGTTTCAAAGGTGTTATTGGAAAAAGCAAAATTTAGATTGTTGTCCATGATAAGTGGATGAAAACCTCCGATTGGAGGAGGACATTTGGGAAAATAAGCAGAGCTGTTGTTAGATACGTATATTTAACTGGTAAATCTTTTGTTAGTTAATTTGGTGTCTCCCCAGTGTTCTAATTATCTCATCCTTCTGCTGACAGGGACTATGTTGCTCGCATCGGTCTCGGGGTCATCCTTAACCTGACTCGACAGCAGGACGATGCCCAGCTGGCTCGCAGCGTCTCTGGCATCCTGGAGCACATGTTCAAACACAGTGAGGAGACATCCGTCCAACTTATCTCCAACGGCGCCCTGGACGCCCTCCTCTTCTGGTGCAGGGGCACGGACCCCACCGTGCTGCGGCATTGTGCCGTGGCGCTGGCCAACTGCGCAATGTACGGTGGCCACCGCTGTCAGCGATGGATGATTGAGAAGCAGGCGGCCGAGTGGCTCTTCCCTCTGGCTTTTTCCAAAGAGGACGAGCTGATCCGCTTCCACGCCTGCCTGGCTGTGACAGTGTTGGCAGCGAACAAAGAGATCGAGAAAGAGGTGGTGAAGTCTGGAACCCTGGAGCTGGTGGAGCCTTTTATCGCCTCTCTGGATCCAGATGATTTCGCTCGCTCTTTGTTGGACAGTGCAGATTGCATGCAGGGAAAGACAGCATCTGACCTCCAGCACCTCTTACCATTACTAGATGGAACGAGAGTGGAGGGAAAGTGTATTGCTGCCTTTTATCTTTGTGTTGAAACCAGTATCAAGTCCCGCCAGCGCAACACCAAGGTACAATCACTTTACCTGCCACAAGCCCCAATTTATACCCGTGTGTGTGGAAGTTTTGGTGCATTACTATAATTCTCATCTTCATTTTTTAAAAGATATTCCAAGAGATTGGAGCTGTGCAGAGCCTCAAAAGAATCGTCATGTACTCCAGTAATGGCACCGTCTCCAGTCTGGCCAAACGGGCGCTGAGTATGATGGGAGAGGAAGTCCCAAAACAGGTCTTGTCTTGTGTGCCCAACTGGAAGACCTTCGAGGTGCAGACATGGCTGCAGCAGGTTGGCTTCAGTGCCTTCAGTGACCGTTTTCAGGTAGGTCTTAGATCAGACTAGAAGACTTCACAAAAATACACTTTGGTTCGCTGTGAAAATAAATAGTCAGAAAAATTTCCAACCGATGGTTTCTATGAGATCAATTTACCTGTATGCAATACTTTGTGTCAATCTGTTAAAAATGCAAATCAGATAAAAGGTTAAGGTTGCTAAGACACTGTAAACCTGCTCTAATTCCCACTCGTGCATTCTATAGGAGCTTCAGGTGGATGGAGATCTGCTGCTGAACATCACAGATCAAGAACTAAGCTCTGATCTCGGCATGGCTGCAGGTCTCACCCGCAAAAGGCAAGTAGCTAAGACCCTTCGCACCAAAACACTGAGGTAAAACAGCACGTGTCTGAAAGAAAGCAATGCTTTGGTCTACCTCTAGGTTTCTGAGAGACTTGCATGTGCTGAAGACATACGCCGACTACTCCACGTGCGACCCCAACAACATGGCTGACTGGTTGGTTGAGGTGGATCCCCGTTTTCGAAAGTACACCTATGGCCTTGTCCAGTCAGGAGTGGACCGCAGCAACGTCCAGCTCCTTACTGACCAGCAGCTGCAGCACGACTGTCAGGTTGAGAATGGAGTCCACCGAGCAAAGATACTGTCGGCCGCCCGCAGGCCGCAAAAGCCGTGCCACACAGACGCCCATCCTGCAGGACCCGACGTCTTTATCAGCTACCGTCGGACCACCGGCTCCCAACTGGCCAGGTATAGATTTACAGGGAATTCAAATGTATTTGCACACACAACCAAGTTATGGGAAAACAGACATTGAAGTTGGTTTTCCTTGTCATCCAGCCTTCTGAAGGTGCACCTACAGGTCAGAGGTTACAGCGTGTTTATAGATGTGGAGAAGCTGGAGGCTGGGAAATTTGAAGACAAACTGATTCAGAGCGTACAGAGGGCCCGCAACTTCATCCTGGTCCTCTCAGCCAGCGCGCTCGATAAGTGCATGGGTGACACCGATATGAAGGACTGGGTGCATAAGGTCAGGAGATTCATCTATTCTCTTAAACATCTACTGTTAGCTGTATTTTCTAACAATGCATCTAAATCTCTAACGTTGAGGGATCTTTGGTGTATTAAATATCGAGCAATTGATGTCTGTATTTTGGTCCAAATGTATCTGCAGTAACCTTGAGGTGTAAACATGAAAAGAGTTTGTTGTTTTAGGTGTTTTATTTGTCTGTGTAGATTTTTTTTTGTTGCTTCTATTCAGTATATTTATTTTGTGGCAAAAAATCCATCAGATGGAATCTTATGGTACTTTAGAAGATAAACAGGTCTGCCTCATGTTCAGTTGTTTTTAAAGCCGCCTAACCCAAGACCAGATAATTAAAAGGCTATTTTCAAGTATCAACATATTCATTGTAAAGTTTCTGTTGCTGCAGTTGTTTAAAGAAAACCACCAAACCACAAACGCGTTGGTCTGGCGTTTCTGTGAAGAAAAACGTTATACAAGTCTAAACATGTGGAAAAGATACTTTTTTTGAACTGACAAGTCCTGTCACATGTTACAGCTCTGATTCAGGAGCAGCAAATGAGAGAGGTGAGATGAGGCAAAATCAACTAGATTTTTTGAAAGAAATTAAAATAAAAGAATGAAAGACTTGGAGCAGGAAACCGTATCTGATACAGGAGCCAGGGCTGGAGCAGAACCTGAATCTGGGACTCTTTATGTGCTGGATTGATGAGAGTCCGCGATGAAGGAGAGCAGCACAGAAAGGGACAGGAAAGAACATGTCCCTGCAAAACACAAAACATGGGCAGAGACTGTCAAAAAAGTCTTTGGAGTATGTATGTTTCTTTTGAATAGTCCATCAGTTCGGAAACGATGGGATGTTACGTTGCATAATGATGGGAAAGTTAGTTTTCCTTAACATCACGATCTAATCTATTGATATCTTATTTATTTACACCTTAATTCTCATATATCAAGGTCCCCAAAGTTCAAATCTCATGTTTACATGTTTTTACGATCACTGCAGAGACAGATCTCAATTGGAAGAAACTGTTAAAACGATGTTTTAACATCAATTTTCTAAATTCTTTTGTTTTTTGGCTAACAAAACATGCTGTAAATCACCTTGAGCACAGTATATCCACTGTAAAACATGATAGTGGTCATGCTCTGATCATGCATTGGGATCTTATTCCTGCAAATAAACAGGAAAACAGTGCATGAGGCAATGGATGCACCGATTTATGCTGTACTGGCATATACTAAAAAAACTAAATCAGCTGAACTTGGTTAAACTTCAAAGGTATATACTTACAGAAATGTGATGTTCTGCTATATATATTTTTTTAATTATTAGTTTTATTTCTCTGCATTGTACCTAAGGTCATATTCTACATGTCATGTTACTCCTTCTGACATCTTCTCTAGATGAATTATTAAGTTAAAGGAACAGTACACCCAAAACATGATTAGCCTTCATTTTCTACTCACCCCCATGCTAAACAACACTCTGGAGTACTTTTTTGATATTTTGATAGCTGAATGCGCACTTTCATCTGGTTTGGTCTGCTGCGGTTTCCGTAGACTCGTGAACGCTCTTTTAGGAAATCCTATACACTACTGTTTATGCTCTAAAAACATTCTAAATGACTTTGTTTCGAGTAAATTATGGACACTACCCACTCAGGACACTTGGAATACATTGGACGAGCAGTATGGAGGAATATTGACACGTTTTTTGTGGACTTTTATGGACCTTTCTGCCTCGGGCACCATAGACCTCCATTATTTGAATGTCAGCAGACAGCAAGAAGCCTCCCAGATCTCCAGATGCATTTGAGATATCAAAAAAGTACTCCAGAGTGTTGTTCAGCATGGGGGTGAGTAGAAAATGAAGGCTAATCATGTTTTGGGTGTACTATTCCTTTAAAACAACAAATGTCTGAAGGCTGAACTATACATGTAATTGATTCCATCCCTTTGTGCCCTTTAAAATGTCATATTTAAAAGGTTGTTTTATTGCAGGAAATAGTCACGGCTCTGGCTGGTAAGAAGAACATTGTCCCTGTCGTCGACAACTTCCTGTGGCCAGACCCCACATCTCTACCAGAGGATATGAGAGCTATTCTCAACTTTAATGGCATAAAGTGAGTTTTACTAGACAGAGCTTTATATATTTCACTTATAATTTGTTTTATATTTATAGTTCTGCACAACTAACATAATCCTCGTAAGGTGTTTTGTAGATAAGTAAAATACCACAGAATTGAACTTGAGCATTTTTTGTGTTATAGATGGTCCCATGAATATCAGGAGGCCACGATCGAAAAGATCATCCGCTTTCTTAAAAGACCCCATGATGCAACTGACACCTCAGATGAATCCAAAGCGCAGAAGAAGAAATGAACGGATTCCAAGAAGCACTTCTAAGACTGTGACGCCATCTTCCAGCGAACAGCTGTCAGACAGCTTTCCCTGCTCTGCCCAATAGCATGTGAAGTATAATGTGTAGTCTGCTTAAACAAACGCCCCTATGACCAGATTTAACTGTTAAACCAGGAGGCGATTCAAAAAGGGAATTGCAGACTGTATGTAACTACGTTTATGCCTTTAATGTTACTCTTCACTAACTGCTGTATTGGTATAACCACGTTCAGTATATGCCTTTCTGAATCTCAGGAAAACAAGTGATAGACCAGCTTCACCCAGAGACATCATCAATAACAGTTTCTGAAGGCTCCACCAATCCTTCACTCCCTACGTTATTACATACTGCAATAGTCCTTTCTGTAACGTGTATATACAATAATAAATCAGCCTAGGCCTCTGATATGACTCTGCTGTCTTAGATTTTATACTGTTATTAAACAGAAAGCTTTTTTTTAAATCTAAGCTGCAGGGGTGACATCTCTTGTCATCAGCTCAGAGGATTGGACCCAGAATTCAGACGAGACAGACAGTGATAACTTAAAGGCGTTTATTAAAAGGCTGGGTGTGTTTGCTCATCAGCTGGGGCAGGATCACTGGACACGCTGCGGGAATGCAGGCACAGATCAATGACTTCTGAAACTCCAACGGAGAACCACAACGAGCTTGAAAGTCACCAACCTGGCAATGTTCAGTCTGTGCACAGAAGAAGGAGTGAAGGGAAGAGGAGGAGCGATCAGCAGCAGCCAGAGCACACAGAGGCAACAAAGGATCCAGAAGGGATTATCCAAGCCGTGGTCAGAAGACAGGTCCAGGGTCCGCAACAGGTGAAAACCAGGTAAATCCAGAAACACAGGCAAAACAGAGCAGAACAGGGGCTGCCAAAACTCAGAAGTCCAGTGGGGAGAAACAGGTCAAGATCAGGCAGAACAAACACACACAGAAAACGCTAGAATTAGACTTGCTGGAAGCTGGAATAATCTGGCACCATGGGCTGGGACCCAGTGGCATAAATAGCAGAAGAAACAGGTGGATCTGATAAGAGATAATCAAGCTGGGGAAAAAACAAAACAGGTGAAAGTAGTTAAGCACAGTAAAGAAAAAAACCATAAATAATTATTACAACCTCTAAAACCTTTTTATTATTATTTTAAAACCTGAATCAACACATCAAATATACATCCATCTTCTGACACGCTTTATCCCAAGTGGGGTCGTGGTGCCTATCTCCAGCTGTCTACGGGCAAGAGGCAGGGTACACCCAGGACAGGTCGCCAGTCCATCACAGGGGAACACAGAGACAAACAACCATTCACACCTAAGGAGAATTTAGAGAAGCCAATTAACCGAACAGTCATGTTTTTGGACTGTGGGAGAAAGCCGGAGTACCCGGAGAGAATCCACACATGTTCAGGGAGAACATGCAAACCCATGCAGAAAGACCCCGGGCTGGGAAACCCAGAACCTTCTTGCTGCAAGGCAGCAGTGCTACCCACTGCTCCACTAAGCAGCCCACATCAAATATCACTGTATTTGATTCACCGTAAGGATTTTATCGTTATCATCTTCTTCCACTTCATCCAGGACAGGGTCGCATCAGACTCAGCAGAGACTCCCAGACTTCCCCTTCCTCAGACACCTCCTCCAGCTCTACTGGGGGAAGCATGAGGTGCTCCCAGGCCAGCAGACATAGTCCTCCCTGGGTCGTCCCCTGGACCTGCTCCTTGTGGGACATTCCTAGCTCCTCTCGATGTGGAGAAGTGGCTCAACTTAAAACCTCTCCTGGATGACAGAGCTGCTCTCTAAGGGAAAGCCCAGCTATGCTGTAGTGAAAGCTCATTTCAACTACTCAGGATCAGGATCTTGTATTGTTGGTCATGATCCGGTTTTTTAATGACCGTAGGGGAGGGTAGGAATGCAGACCGACAGGTATATTGAGAGCTTTGCCTTTTGGCTCAGCTCTATCTTAACAACAACACATGGGTAAAGTGTCCACATTATAGCAGCTGCAGGTCCAATCAGTCTATCTCCCACTCAATTCTCCCTTCACCTATAAACAGGACCTCAAGATACTTAAATTCCTCCTCTCTCCTCCAACCTGAAGAGGACAAACTACCGGTACCTTTTAATGATTCTGATTTTAGCATTTTTCCGCTTCATGAAAGGAAAAAAGATTTGATCACTAAGAGAAATTCTCCAAATCCTGTAAAATATACAGATCAGAAAGGACTCATATACTCTAGCAGGCTTTACAATTAAAACTAGTCAACATTCCACCTGATGCTTGCAAATTATTGACCTCTAGCACCCCCTAGATAGATTTAGATGTATCTCTATTTTTATAAAGTCTTTTCAGATGAATTTAAAATTGTCTAAACCTTTTTATTTAAAACAAAATAATAATAATCAAAAAATTGTATATGTATTGTATCTGAACATGCCAGTAAAACATAAGAAGTTCCAGAGTTAAAAAATATTGTTTCATAATTTTCTTCTTCTATGCTTATATCCAGACCTTGAATTCCAGACTTACCAATTACCAACCACTTATTATACTACTTATTACAACCACTTTTATACTTACCAACCACTTTTCCATACAGTATAGGCACCTGGTCTTATATAACGTAAAGTTTTCCCAACATAGTTAGGCCACAATCGTCCCCTCAAGCTCATAAATGAAAATAATTCAGTCGGATCTTCTGACAAAAAGGATGTATTCTGTTTATTTAAACAAAATCCTCAAAAACATTTAGAATTTCAACCTTAACTCAGTTTTCAGGTAACGTAGGTTGAATCTCAAACACATTTACGGTATGTCCATTTCCAGCTGTGCAGTTATCATCAGAGTATAAAAGCACAAAATCTTCTTCAATAAAAATAAAAACATGTTGAAAAAGAATTGCCCAGCATGTTCATAATAGATCGAGAACATATTAAAAATACAAAACTCCCTTCAACTTTACCATTACCACAATAACATTCAAGTTTATCATTTTCAATTTGCTTAAAAATAAAGAAACACGTAACACAGAACAAATGGTCATATGGATCCCATGCTTGGATCCAAAGTGCTTTCAGTATCCCATAATTCTTTTACATTTTGGTGAAAAAAAAAAGTCAAATACAGTGGCGGTTCTAGACCAAATGTTCCAGAGGGGCAGGGTGGGGCCCCGTGTTTTCATGGCGGCACAGAAGAGCATGAAGTAAAGAAAAAAACAGGGCAAGGGATTCAAATATATCAAGAGAGCTGCATGTAGTGAAATTTCCATTCAATTAGGTTTAATTAAAATTCTAACTTCCAACTGAAAATATTTATTGTTGGCTTAAAAATGTTAATTCGGATTATCGTTAAAATAAAAATCCATAAGCATAGCAAAAAAGCAACTAAAAGAATTGTAGCTATGTAAATATCTAAAAGGTCAAATAAAGCTATTATTTGGAATATTAGGTCAATATACATTCATAATTTAGGAATTTTACATATTTTTAACTTGATTTAAGTTCAAATTACAGTTTTCTATGAAAGCAGAAGGAGAACTCAAGAAAAACTGATAAATTCAGCTGTAAAAAAATTTGAGTATTCTTTTCGTTTTGAAAAAAAACCTTAAGCAGATGAAAATTGGGATCCTATTTCAATACCGTTGAAGCTATCACCTTATTGTTTTTAAGTAATTAGTTAAACAGAATATTTTAAAGAAAAACAAAATGACCAATGAGAAACCATGTCTGTTCCAGCGCATATCATCCTTAGAATTTCATTTAGTATTACGTCTTTGCTACAGGGGCCATAACAGGGACCAGGTTATGATCTACAGTGGCACTGGCCCCCATTGGCTCATTTCTAGAACTGCCCCTGCTCAAATATAATAATAATAATAATAATAAAAAAAAACTACTGAAGTAAATATATCCTTTGCTTTTATAGAAAAGTTTTCCTGATCTAAAACTAGTTTAAATATTATCTTTTAAAAATACTTAAGATTTTCAGTTTCTTTTACAAAAGTCAGCTCCTGGTTGAGCAGAAGTGTCTTAAGGCTGATAGAATCAGAAATCACACCTGATTTAGGTGAATATTATTAAATATTTCAACAAATGAATAAAAAAAGCATTTAGCAGTGCGCTGCAGTGACACTGCAGCCACTATTACAGTTAATAAATTAAAATAAAAAACATTAGACAGATCCAAAGAGTACAAAAAATCATTTAAAATAAGTGAATCAAATCTTCATTTGTGGACATTGTGACGGTGAGGCTTTTTGTTGGAATGAGGAGTTTACTTCATCATTTGGAGTCATGGGGCAGTTTCCATGTTGCCCCTCTTTCTGGGCTGTTTTCCGCCCTAATAAGCATCAAGACCAGCTTTAGGATAATGAAGAGTCCCTGTGTTCCCTGCGCTGGTCCAAACACTGCAGAGCTCTACAGAGACAGATAAATATGTTGCAGATTACGCTGCTGTTTGTAGCCAACAGTTTGAAAAAGAGAAAAACAAAGGTGGAAGGGTGATGGAGGGATAGATGAATGGGAGGAGGGATGCATGAGGAAAGGTTGGATGATGAATAAATAGATGGACGGACCAATGAGTGGCCTCTTTAACTGGTTGGATAGAAGGGCTGACAGGCAGGTGGAAAAGAGCAAACTCACCCAATTATTCCAGCAGGGATGAAGAGAATGAAGGCAGCAAACAAGAATGGAAAGCCCTTCATGAAATGTAGCGAGGCTGGATAGAGGGAGTTGAAGATGCTGCTGCCTACGAGGTAACATAAGCTCTCCACACAGGCGACAGAGGCAAACAGGGCCCCTGGGGACCAAACACACACATTTATAGAAACCAGAACACAGGACCGGAAAGTGTGAAATCGAACTGCGCTGCTTCATTCCTCATGTTATCCCTTTAGCCCACAGAGTTCAGGAATTCAACATCTGTGAAACTAAAAGGTTGCATGCTCAGAACCAGAAGCTGCCTCACCTTGTTCTGATGGATCCACCAGTTTGGACAGCTTGGATCTGAGGACCGGAGTTGAAGCCATGAAGAGGAAACACAGGCCATAACCTGGACATAAAACCCTAAGGTGTTACCGTCAGATGATCCTTTTTCAGGTTTTTAAGTCTGGTAATGTTCATCATTATGGCTAACACAGAATGACAACCCAAAATCAGGTTCCTTAAACTTAATTTTAAGCCTGCTACAAAGTATCTGCATTTAACCTAGCCTTTAACCTAACACTGGCCCTGGTGTCTCTTCTCTTCATCTCAACAACATATAGACCCTATGACCTTAAGGCCTGTTGGCTGATCCACCCAGCACAGTAGCATGATAAAAAAAACAAGTGATTTTTTTCACTCCGTAAAATAAACAAGTTGTGGGTTTTTGAATAAATATTTTTATGTCCGGTTATTAAAAAACATGCAGAGGGTTTTCCATCGGAAACCGTTAATAACTGACCCAGAACATTAGTGTCAGCCATTTTACTTATGAGACCAAAACTAATATGTAAAACAAATGGATAAGATTAAATGACGCACCTTTGTTTCCGAAGGCAATGTGTTGTTTTTCCAACTAATATTCTAAAAATATTTGAATGACATATTTCTATAAGTTGTTTAATTCGTTTCTCACCTGTGAACATAAGCTGGGTGGTATTCGCCACAGAGAACACCACCAGTCCAGTCATATTTGAGGCCAGGCCCACCAGTGCGATCCAGGAGTCCTGCAGGCAGCGCTGCATCACCTTCAGCCCCAGCAGGCTGCTCAGGTAGGCCAAGTTCTGAGCTGCAGAGCCCCAGCCAATGAGAGCTGAGCCCCAGCACAGCGGGGAGCTCAGCTCGTACAGCACGTACAGCTCTCTGCTGCCGAAGTGAACGGTCACCACCAGGAAGAAGCAAAGCGTGTAGAGCCACAGCTTGCTTCTGTGGAGCGGCCTGCCAGCCTCAGCGCTCACACGTCCTGTGGAGTACAGCTGCCAGACAGCTTTATGGTGGCGAGACGTGAAAAGCCTTGCGCTGGGGTCCGGGTGGACGGACTCTCGGACGAACAGGTAGGCGTAGAGAGCTGAGGCCAAGTTGGTGGCCAGGACCAGCCAGAATGGATTAATGTAACTGCAATAAACAACATTAAAAGGTTATGGAGGGGAAATATATATATATATATATATATATATTTTTATTGAAGTGCACAAAGCAAATGTTTCTCACCCTTGTGCCCGCCGCCACTGGCCTCCTATGATGCTGGCCAACATCCCAGAAACACCCAGACAAGCTTCTAGAACTGCCACCCTGAAGGTGCGGGACTTATTATCACTCACGTCTGCCACGTATGAGAAGCAGCCAGCGAGGATGGCGTTAAAATCCCCCGAGAGACCACTGAGCAGCCGACCCACCAGGAAGTAGACCACAGGCAGTTTGAGGTACATGACAACAAGGTAGACCACGGCCTGCAGGGCCAGGCCAAAGTTAGGGAGGATGAGGACAGGTCGCCGACCTCCAACATCACTCCACGAGCCCAGGAGTGGGACCACCAAGAGCCCCACAGAGAAGCCCCCCAGGTTAATGTAGAGGTTCCAGTGGGCTGTCAGAGTTTCAACTTCCTGAACAGAAACAAGCAGAAAAAATGAGTGCAGCTAACATTTGGTGCAACTGAAATCCTTTTACCTCATTAAAACGATTCAAGTTCAATTCTGCAGGCTCATCAGATCCCTCTAACTTGTTCCAACATGTGATGCTGTTCCTCTTTGCTAAACAGCTGGTGCAGCAGAAACCTGACCCCCCTAATCAGATGCTTTAAGGTTATGGGCTGGTTTTAAGAAATATACACTATTGTCACTGATTAAACAAAGTACAGTCGTCTGCTTTTTCTTTTTTTATTTTTGGTTTCTCAGCACTGTTTCAAAAATGGTGTTTTTAGATTCTTAATTGTTTAAACAGGAACCAAAGACTGTTTACTAAAAAAATAAAATTAAAATGTACTTCCAAATAAAACCTCATCAAATAAAGCCGTCGCTATTAACAGTATTGGCCTGTGAAAGCCTGATCAGTGCATCTAAGGTTTTACCTTTAAATATAAAACCTGCATATTCAGCCATTTTATTATTTTTTTCTTTTTTTATTTCTTTTTTATTTTATATATATATATATATATATATATATATATATATATATATATATATATATATATATATATATATATATATAAAGATTTTTATTTTCTAAACTGAATCCATTTATACAACTTCTTAATTATTTTGGTGACTTATTAAAAGCAATATCTCTCTACGTGTTGAATTTGGTCACAAGAGAAAAACTCATGCCACTTTTATCATAACTACTTGATTTATAACTCATAGAATTTATATTATAATTGTGATAGCATAAAAATGTATAGCAAATTATAGTTCACGTAGATTTTTCTCATTATAATTATGCAGTTTTAATATTTATTGAATATATCATATATTTTATTTAATTATTTGAAGTATATCGTTTAATTCAGAGTTTTTCAAACAGATTATCTATTGTAATATCGTTCTGTAACACGTTGAAATTTGCAATAATGCTCCACTATTTATTTTGCTTTTCATGCACATAGACATGAACCCATGCTGCGGCCCACAGCATGACTAAAGCAGTGACGTTACCAGCTGATCACCTTCTGCAGAGGGTCTGGCTCCACCGAGCCGTTGCTGCACTCCGCCCTCTTGGAGCCGTTGTAGCCGAGGTCCTCGCTAATTCGGTCCCAAAGGTACTGGGTGGACAAAGGCGCCTGGAGAGCCAGGGAGAACATGGAGAGGAAGAGCACCGGCTCCACGGACACCGGGACGCGACACGTCCGCGGCGGCGGCGGCACCGAGCAGGTGGCGCCCGGTGCCTCCGCAGGCGGGTCATCGGTTGAAGAGGAGCTAAGGAGGTCCTCAGGGAGGATCGCTGCCGTGTCCGGCTCGTCCATGTCGTCCAGACAGGGCTGAAGTTGATTTCCAAAAATCTCTGTTTAACGGAAATGAAACATGTAGTTACAGAAATAATACAATCCCGATGCTAAGCAGCGAGGAGCCAAACTCAGAGCTGTGTAGGTTAGCTAAGATACTGAGCTCATAGACATGTAACTAAACTCAGCGAAAATAACGTGATTTGTTAAAAAAGTGGTGAATTAGCTCCATCTGGTGGTGAAACACTGGAACTACATAAACATGCCAAAATAAGTCAAGTCAGCTTAGGTCAATTTCTTTACATGCACTGGTCATACAAAGAATTTAAATTACGTTTCTTACTCTCCCATGCAGACATTTACATAGTTTAAAATACAGACATGGACATACTTTAGACATAGACAATAATAATAATAAAAAAGAAATATACAGACATACCACATAAAGACATTAAAGTGCAAGGCTGAAATATAGAATATATATATATTTATATAATTTTGTAATATATAAGTTCCAACATTGAGAAAAATACATATTTTTAAACTCAATTGGAAACAAGAGCAGACATTTTGGCTGCAAGTTTAAGATGTACCTTATGACACCTTTGCTCTTTCTCAGTTTAGAAGACTGGAATGTCAGGGTTGTTTCTACAGCAATGGTGTACTTTATTTAAAAATTAATTTTTACTTGTTTAATTGTGGAATTAATGTTGTTGTTCCATTATTGTTACATATATATTGTTATGTATATATATATACAGTATATATATATATATATATATATATATATATATATATATATATATATATATATATATATATATATATATATATATATATATTTTTTTTTTATATATATATATATAATTTATTTATATATAAAAATAATAGAAATTTATTGATATTCCTCTGCATTTGGGGAGTAGTGGGTTGCTATTGTGCAGTGCCCGGGGAGCATTGTGGGGTTAAGTGTCTTGCTTAGGGAGCCATAGTAGAGCCTGTGGGGATCGAACCAGGTACTTGCAATCTTCTCAGAACACAAATAATGAAACATACTATTCACAATTGGTGTAAAAATCAAAACAAAAAACAAACAAAACAACAACAGCAGGAAAAGTGTAGAATAGACGTCCATTCCTCTATATGCTAATAACCCACATTAAAATCTGTTGCAAGCAACAGCCTTTAGAAATGATATAATTGTGACATTGCTGTTTTTTTTTTCCACCTAGAATTATCATTATTTATTAAACTCATCATGGGCAGAGCTTTGGACTTTGATGCTGGGATAGTCAGGTAATCATTAAAACATGGTAAACAAACTAAGAAAAAAAAAAAGAGTTAGGCCGTAGCAGAAGTAATCCTATGTAGGGCAGCCTAGATAAGCTATTCAATCATTACCTATACTTGTGTTTGACATTGGCCATATAGACAGATTATAGAACCAAAAATAAAAATACCGGTATATACCTTGTCTGTTAGGGGTATTTTGAATGAATTTTCATTACAGTAGTTTTTTGATCTACTAAGAAGTATATTGAAAAATAATTGAGTAAAATACTCCCCAAGGTTTTTTCTTTCGATAGTCTAAGATAGAAACAAAAATTTGTTTTAAATAACTGCATTTTTAAAGTATATAAATGTTTTTCATATAGAATTACTATGGGTTTGTTTTAAAAATATGTGAAAATCTGGTAGAATCCAAAGTAATGGAGTGTATGGTATGTTTTTCTCTTGCAGAATTTTTACTTTTTTTTCCATCTCTGGTCTGTAGATCATTATTTTATTCCTTTATCTCTGTAAAAAATTTTTTAGCAGTGCACTGCATTTTTTTTATACTGGTGCTTCAGTTTAAGCAATGTTTATGTTTTGTAGTAATGAGCTCTCTTTTGTTGTTGTAGAAAACCACAAAAATGTGTGTGTGTTGGCCTGTTCTGAGAAAATATGGAAATAACTTTTAAAACTTTTTAACCAAAATACTTATTGCCATGGTTTTGTATATATATTATATATGGCAGTGCTCCTCAGTAAAAAAAACAAACAAAAACACTCTGTAAACTACTCCAATTTAAATAGAAATAAAATAAATGAGCGTTAGCCTTCAGACATAACAAATATTGGTGATGTCAGGTCTAAGCACCTAAAACATCATACATACATACAGGGAAAGAAAGAAGGCACAGAGACAATTAATTTAGTTACTCGCGAGGAGAGTAGGAAGAGACTGCAGAGTTTACAATCTCCACCTCACTCTGCAGTCTTCAGCTTTCTCCTTGCTATTTATTGAAGAAAAGGGGATGTCCCTAATTACACCAGCTGAGGTTTAACTAAGGGAAAGGGAAACAAAAGGCTCTTACTTTAAACCTCAGCACATATGTTAAAACAAAGTGGCTGTTTTACAATTGAATTGTTCCAAGAGCACATGCTTAGAAGAAACATGTGATAGAGGCTGTTCATGTCTCTTTTACAACCCAGCATGTGATAGAGGATGTTCAGGCCTCCTTCACAACCCGTCCGTTGCATGACCTTTATCTGGAACAATCTTAAGCAAGAGTTAATAAAAGATGAATCACACATTATACATCACAATAGTTCATTAGAACACAACCCATGAAACACAAACAGAGTAAGAGTATAAATAAAATATTTCTAACAGGTGATATCATGCAATTTCTGCTATGTTAGATTTTTTCTAATGGGCGGAGCAGTGGTTAGCAGCGTTGCCTTGCATTTTAATCCCATCCTGGGAATTCTCATCATATGTGGATTCTGTCTGGGTAATCCGACCTCCTCCTAAAGTCCAAAACAGATCTGAAAGGATAATTTGTTTCTCTAAATTGAACATAGATAGAAATGTATGTTCTTTGTTCTATGGGTTCCTGTGTTGGCGACCTGTGCAGTGTTTATTTCTCCTCCCATTCATTGGCAACAGGCACCAGCCAAACTTGTTTATTGTCTATTTCAAACTGTATTATAATTATGAGTTGTCCAAATTTTTGTTTTGCGTTTCACTTTAAACATAAGGACATTTCTATCAAGTTTGCTAAAATCATATATGTATTTTCTTTTGAGAAACAAAAGGATAATTACAGCTACATCCAGATCTGCAGAAAAATGAGGACGAACCCACTTTGTTTAAACAAAATACCTTTGCATTATCAGAGAATCTGATAGGCTAGTCCAGAAACACCTGATCCTCTATATTCTGTAATCTTTAATCAATGTCACGGGGATGAGGTAGAGGAGATCACTTTTTTTGGATCTTTGCCTGTTTCAGCTGAACCAATTTTCTTAGAAATTAGAACAAGCTAATACATACAGCCTGATGTATATGAATGTAATACAAAGTGCATCTTTTTATATAAAAGTTTTTAGTATGTTTTTAGAATGTTAATTCCTCTAGCAGTAATTCTTACTTGTTATCTTTAATAGAATTGTAAAAATGTAATTTAATTAATAAACAAGAATCTTGTTATTTGAATGTGTATGTAAAAAAAATAAATAAAAAATAATTGCAAAATATTTAGTATGGAGTATTTTCTGTGTTATAAAGATAAAAAAAACAGTGAATATAGGTCAAAATGCAACCTGTTAAAACTACCCTGGAAATGCAATCACGCCACCTTCCTCCTATTCTGATGAGTCAACACCTGTAGCAGCTTCTGTCAGGGTAACGGTCCATTAGGCAAAGCAGCAGGAGTAGACAAGTTCTTATCATGGTCAAGTTTCACAGAAGAAAAAAAAAGAAACCTGGTTAAATAAATGCAAATATTAAGTTATCTGGAAACAGCTTCATTAAATGGACATTTAAAGAATAGCTGGTAATATGCCATCCTCCTTTACAAACCCAACTATAAAACAATATTTAAAATAACTGTGAATGTTAATTATACATTATGTTGGTGTGTGGCACACAAATAACACCCTTTAGATCCCATCTTTGCACTAAACCATAGTGCTTGCAGAATTATTCAGAGGGAATATTTGTTTTCCAGCAGGAAAAGGGAAATTGGTCAAAGTTGATTGAAAATGGATATGGCACAGGGAAGTCTGGGAAGAAAACGAAAGTTACGACTGTAACTACGGTTCTATTAATCCCGGATGACCGCCAGAGGCGGTGCTTAAAGCACGAATGATCACTCTTGCGCATGCACAGGTCGAGAATCTTATACCAACATAGTCACGTGTGACCCCCAGTGACACCGGTGTGCCTATATAGTCACGTGACAGCGACAGCTCAGTCCCTTAATCTTCTCGCGAAAACACGATGATTCCGAGGGACCAAGCGCTCTGGCGGTTCTCGTTCTATTTCATCCCTACTGACCGCCAGAGGCAGTGCTTAAAGCACGGATGACAATTACCAACAGAGTCCTGAGGAATCACACACAGAAACAACAACCCAAAACATGCCCACCTCACTGGGAAGATGGTGTGCGCTGGGACAGGATCCCCTGCATTGGGTGAGGGGTGGCCAAGTTAACCCTGTAAAACCTAGCAAAGGTATTCGGGGATGACTAAGAGGCTGCTGAGCAAATAGCTTCCAGAGTGAGACCAGTCATAGCGGCCCATGACACACTGACACCCCTGGTGGAATGGCACCGTACACCAGCGGGGGGTTGGAGGCCCCGCTGTTTAGAAAGGGCCTGCCCCTTGCGGGGCCCCGCGTAGCAAACAAACAGATTATCCGACTGACGGAGAGAAGCTGTGAGACTGACATATGCCTTCAGTGCCCGAACAGGGCAGAGAAGCTCATCAGGCCCATCTGTATCAAGGCGAGCAAGCTGGAGGGGCACAGCGTGGCTCGCGGATGAAGCCACTTTAGGAAGAAACGCCTCATCAGGCCAAAGAGTAACACCCGAACCAGCCTGACACCAGCGGCTAAAAGCCTTCCACTTATGGGCGTACACCAGACGCGTGGAAGGGGCCCTGGCATTAGTCATCGTGTGTCCAATGTCCCTGCCATACTCCGAGAAGGAAACGCCGGGCCCTGTAGTGGCCAGACCCAGAGTTGGAGGCGACTGGGATTGGGATGCAGGATCCACCCAGCTGTGACAGCAGGTCCTTCCTGCAGGGAAGAGGCATCGGAGAGCTGCAACAGAGCCTGTGCAGCATTGGAAACCAAGTCCTCCCTGGCCACCGGGGGGCCACCAGAAGGAGCTGATGCCCCTCCTGAAGGACCCTCAGGAGTATTGGGCC